CTTGTGCAGGCGAGGAGTCACAATAACGTGGCTCAAGTATGTTGACCAGACCACACACTAGAAGTTGAAGGGACGACGACGTTTCGGTCCGTCCTGGACCATTCTCAAGTCGATTCATTTATTACTAAGGATAAAATATCGACTTGAGAATGGTCCAGGACGGACCGAAACGTCGTCGTCCCTTCAACCTCTAGTGTGTGGTCTGGTCAACCACGTAGTTCTTGCTCGGCATATTGTTGCCTCCAAGCCGCCCACACCATTAATGCTGTTTTCCCGTGGCACAGAGCGGAAATTGCGACACTTCTTGGCTCTCCTAAATGCCACTCTTTTCCCCCTAGCGTCAAGTGATCGTTATTAACGCCATAACCTCTAACCTGCGTGTAGCCACCTAACTGAGGCGACGGTGCACACAAACACACACACGTAATGAACGTTCTGCTTCTGCTTGCGGGGAAATCATCAACAAAACCTAAAGTAATATTATAAGCCGCATTATATAAACACTTGCCGGCGTACCGAGGTCAAGCAGCGGACCCCGGTATATCTGATCTCATTAATTTGGCGCTAAGGAAATATTTTCTTCCTTTAATTTAATTACAAAGTAAACTATTTGATAAAATATCATCAAATGGGATAATAATGCTGAAGAACAGTGCATCGCATGGCATAATATTTAGAGCACAATATGGAGGGGAGGTAAGGCACAAGGGTGACATCTGTTGAGCAAATCACGACTCTCATCGCCAGCTGGCCATCCCAGCTGCACTAGCCTCAGCAGCCTTTCTTTATCAACTGCTCCCCGTATTGACAAACAACACGGTGTACGGTCACAGTTTTGGATGAACTCTTTTGAACACCATGTGACTGTCACTACGAAAATGACGAAATTACTTAATGCTTCTTGCGTAAGGAAGAAATGTCACGAGATACATGTCAACAAAAGGGTTTCCTAATGAAATTAAAAAGTCTTTCAGGAAATAAAGAGGCTAGTAGGAATAGTCTCAAGAACTAGGCAGACAAGGACTATTGAAATCATTTGTGTTGTCCCGTCTCGAGTACTGCTCAGTATTCACTTCCCCCTTCAGAGCAGGAGAGATTGCTGAAATAGAGGGAATACAGAGAACATATACGGCACGCATAGACGAGATAAAGCACCTAAATTATTGGGATCGTCTCAAAGCTCTCCAAATGTACTCACTAGAAAAGAGACGAGAGAGATACCAAATAATATACACGTGGAAAATACTGGAGGGCCAGGTCCCTAATCTGCACAGTATAATGGCAACATACTGGAGTGAACGATATGGAAGAAAATGCAAAATAGAACCAGTGAAGAGCTGAGGTGCCATAGGCACAATCAGTGAACACTGTATAAACATCAGAGGTCCGCGGTTGTTCAACACCCTCCCAGCAAGCATAAGAAATATTGCCGGAACAACCGTTGACATCTTCAAGAGGAAACTAGATTGTTTCCTCCAAGGAGTGCTGGACCAACCGGGCTGTGGTGGGTATGTGGGCCTGCGGGCCGCTCCAAGCAACAGCCTGGTGGACCAAACTCTAACAAGTTAAGCCTGGCCTCGGGCCGGGCTTGGGGAGTAGAAGAACTCCCAGAACGCCATCAAGCAAGCAGGAGCATCTTTTGAGAGAGTGAAGGCTAAACTGGACACCGTGGGGTGTGGAATGTCCGGGTTATCAGTAGAGGAACGTGTAGCAGCACGGGACAGCCCTAAACTTATGTTATAGAAAATGGCCAACCCTCTTATTACTAAGGATAAAATACCTATATACCTAAAATACACCTGGAAGATACTGGAGGGCCAAGTACCAAATCTACACAGTAAAATAACAACGTACTGGAGTGAACGACATGGAAGAAAATGTAGAATAGAACCAATGAAGAGCAGAGGTGCCATAGGCACAATCAGAGAACACTGTATAAACATCAGAGGTCCGCGGTTGTTCAACGTCCTCCCAGCAAGCATAAGAAATATTGCTGGAACAACCGTGGACATTTTCAAGAGGAAACTAGATTTATTCCTCCAAGGAGTGCCGGACCAACCGGGCTGTGGTGGGTATGTGGGCCTGCGGGCCGCTCCAAGCAACAGCCTGGTGGACCAAACTCTCACAAGTCGAGCCTGGCCTCGGGCCGGGCTTGGGGAGTAGAAGAACTCCCAGAACCCCATCAACCAGGTATCAACCAGGTACCTGAAACGCTTGCACTGTATCCATATTTCGCTCCCGGTACATAAACGACACACGAGATTCAGAAGCAAGTAGTGTATTGTGAAGACTAACAATAACAAACAGCTGCTCCCCTATGACTGTAATATCTCCATATAGCTCAAACAATTATGTATTGGTTATAAGACTTACAATTATTGTATAATGACTTACTGTAAATATATAGCTCTTGAAATAGAACATTCTCTGTAACTAGCTGACATTGTAACTATAAGGTGAGAAGGATAGATGAAATTGTTAATGTAATCATGATAGTTGACGTCTGATAAAGACCTTTTGTGCCCTCTGTAATCCTTACTTGTAATACCTGACCGGGGGCCTGACAGCTGAGTGGACAGCGCTCGGGGTTCGTAATCCTAAGGTTCCGGGTTGAGGCGGAAACAAATAGGCAGAGTTTCTTTCACCCTGATACCCCTGCTCTCCTAGCAGTAAATATGTACCTGGGATTTAAGATAGCTGGTACGGGCTGCTTCCTGGGAGGGGGGGGGGTATGTAACGAAAAGGAGGCCTGGTCGAGGACCGGGCCGCAGGGACGCTAAGCCCCGAAATCATCTCAAGATAACCTCAAGAAGATGTGAACACCCGCTATGGGAGAAGGAGGACCAAAGAGACATAATTATTCATCACCGGGGTGTTGAACACGGCGCTGTGGCAGTATATTCACTCGCAGGATGAGTGACGCTGCCCAATAACCTCTCCCTTTGGGAGGAGAAAAACAGACAAACACCATACCCACCAGCCGTGAAGGTCAAGACCCTGACCCCCGTAAACACTAGTATACTCATGAGGCCAGCCAGGTCCTCACTTGTGGTCCACCACAACACCATCACCACCACACCACACCATCACCACCACAACACCACCAACACAACACCATCACCACCACCACCACAACATCGTCTGGGAGCAGCATCAACACATCACATGTAAATGAGTTGTTTACTTTAATTCTGGGCTTGTACCAGAGGCACTCACGTCAGGCGAGGTTGGTGCCTCTGGCACCCACACACGTCACACTTTCTCACATCAATTTCATTTGTTCTGAGAGGACGAACAATTCCATAAACTCGTCCTTCAGGATATGGAAAGAAAGAAGAGAAGGGAGAAGCACTATATCGCAAACGAGAAGACCCTGGGTCAAATCCTGGGCAGGAGAGCACGATTGGGCACTGTTTTCTGGTCCCACTCGCTCCCTGGGCAGTCAGTCGTCCCTGGGCACACACGGACACTCATCCCCTGGACACACACTCACCCAGACATGGATGTAAAACGCTTGAGGGATCGTGTTCTGGGGTGTGTTCTAATAATTGTGTGCAGTAAAGGATAAATGAATAATTATCTCTTAGATGAAGAACTTGTCCGTAACGCTGCGCGTGTCAGTGGCTTCGTAAGAATATATAAACACCAATGTTATGTGGTCTCACGTCAGGTACCTTCTTGTTTATAAATGTTTAGATCAGAGCGGGAGTCACCATGATAGACGCTCTTCACCAATATATGCACTTTATCAACCCATTGTACCGTATTGTTTATCAATAAATTAGTAAATCAATACATACGAATAAATCTTAGCCTCGCTATAAATGAGGATCACAATGCGTCTCTTGTGTAACCCCACCTATTAGGTGAGTACACTAGGTGAGTACACTAGGTGAGTACCACCATAACTCTCCCCAGGACCCCATAACCTTACCCCAGGACCCCATAACCTTACCCCAGGACCCCATAACCTTACCCCAGGACCCCATAACCTTCCCCCAGGACCCCATAACCTTACCCCAGGACCCCATAACCTTACCCCAGGACCCCATAACCTTTCCCCAGGACCCCACAACCCTCCCCCACACCACTTGCAGAGAGCCAGCTTGTTGTTTACAAGTGGTCATACTAAGTGCCTTCAGCATGGGCAAGCATGAAATGTTTACACACACATCATCGTGGCAAGATGATGGTAGTCTCGAATGAATACCCAGACCAACAGATCCGCACAATACTCTCCCACAACGCCCACACAATACCCTCCCACAACGCCCACACAATACCCTCCCACAACGCCCACACAATACCCTCCCACAACGCCCACACAATACCCTCCCACAACGCCCACAGAATACCCTCCCACAACGCCCACAGAATACCCTCCCACAATGCCCACACAATACCCTCCCACAACGCCCACACAATACCCTCCCACAACGCCCACACAATACCCTCCCACAACGCCCACACAATACCCTCCCACAACGCCCACACAATACCCTCCCACAACGCCCACAGAATACCCTCCCACAATGCCCACACAATACCCTCCCACAACGCCCACACAATACCCTCCCACAACGCCCACACAATACCCTCCCACAACGCCCACACAATACCCTCCCACAACGCCCCACAGAATGCCCCCCTCACATATAAACATATTTCTGAATAAATCAAAAGTTAAAATCCAGGCCACCTGCCTGGTGTGGGCGGGAGTATCCACCTCAGGGTCCGTCCACGGGCGTTTGGGGTAATACAAGTGCCCACCACAGTTCCATAAGGTTTAAAGCAACATCGTTACCAGACGCTTACAATATGTGAACGATATAAATGTCTCCTTATCTGAGTATTTTGTAAAGACACGGACACGCCCTCACACAGCAGCAGGTGAGTATACTCCGTGGTGGAGGAGGAGACGGGTAGATGATATACGAGGCTTTATACAGCGGTAATTGTTGGGTGGATATGATCGAGAAAAACAGTATTTGAGACCTTACCTGAGTAAGCAGGACGCGCGCAAGGTTTAAACTCCACAATGGTTCCATTGCTAGTGGTCCGGGGTGTCCATTGTCTCCCCCTCTCACTGTAGCAGAGCACTGTACACAATACAACACACACACAGTCTTGTATACCCAGCTGTGTGGCCAAGGCTAGGAGGAGGGACCGTCGGTGGTATAAAGAGTGTTGGGAGCGTAGCGGGCGGACGAGGAGTGAGTTTCTCCACCCGCGGTCCACCACCAGCCTCGGTAGTGAGCGTGAAGCCTAGTGTGGCCCCACACGGCCGCCACCAACGCATCTACCCAGAGGCTGTGTGCCCTTACCACCTCTCCATCACCTCCCCTCGGCTCCTGCATCACCTCTACACACCTTCCTCTCGCAGAAGGCAGTGCAATATTAAGGCGGGAAGCACGAACTGCGGCAGAACAAGGACGTCGAGCGATATTTCCCTCACGACAACATTTTTCGACGGTTGATGCTATGGTCACGTGATTGCCCCGGGCGGTCAGTCGGGGCGATGAGAAGATGCTGAGGGGGAGGGGGAGAAGGGGAGAGAGAGAGAGAGAGAGAGAGAGAGAGAGAGAGAGAGAGAGAGAGAGAGAGAGAGAGAGAGAGAGAGAGAGAGAGAGAGAGAGAGAGAGAGAGAGCGAGCGAGCGCAAGAGAGAGAGAGAGAGAGAGCGAGCGAGCGAGAGAGAGAGAGAGAGAGAGAGAGAGAGAGAGAGAGAGAGAGAGAGAGAGAGAGAGAGAGAGAGAGAGAGAGAGAGAGAGAGAGAGAGAGAGAGAGAGAGCGAGAGAGAGAGACAGAGACAGAGAGAGACAGACATAATTCAATTTAATTGTTATCTTTATTATGCCCCCCATACCCATGCCAGAGAGAGCTAGAGACCAGCTAGTAATGCCTAAGAACAAAACTGAGGTCCAACACGGCCACTTGTACATAATAACGAGACTTTTATTAATACGGATGGAACAGCACCCTCCCCCCCCTCCCTCCCCTCCCCTTCCCCCCTCCCCCCCCTCGTGGGTCACAGCCAACGTTACACAGCACAGTAATCATCTATAGTATTTCTATAGTTCAATTCAATATGCTAAAACTCTTGATGAATTTTACAATCCTGGTAGAGAAAATCATCAGGACAAATAATGGGGGGGCTTTGACAAGCCGCCGGCTTCCTGTCCTCGTCGAGGGCACTATAGATTGTTAGTGCCGCATATGACAATACTCTTCCTGTAAGTGTTAATGGTCGCCATACCCATCCTGTGAGTTATTGTGTAAAATGTTATAATATAATGTATATACAGTATATTTTATATATATATATATATATATATATATATATATATATATATATATATATATATATATATATATATATATATATATATGTATATATATATAATAGGGGTACCACCTCTGGTGCATTTGTAGGGACCCATAGCCTCGGAGACGAAAATAAAGAGCATTCAGGGAAGACCTTGTGGATTCTCATTGAACACTTCAATATTGTCTCCTCCTACCGCCCATATTCTTTTTTTTTTATTTCTTAGTTTCATTACATTGTGTTACAGTTTACAGGAAACACACACACACAGATAACAATGAGGAGGAGGTCGTGCAGCAGGTAAGAGGTCGGGTGTGTGCCCAAGATACACCTCACATTTCCTCTCTGGACGGCGACACTGAGGCGCTGGAACAGGAAACTGGCCGCTCTTGAGTCTCCATGGTGAGCCCCTAATGGATTTACCCGGCACAGGAGCGGTGCTAAAAAAAATTTAAATTTTGCCCCGAGGGGCGAGTTTATTGGGCAGCGCCACTCATCTTGTGAGTGGACACACCGCCATAGTGACAGTATTGGGCAGCGCCACTCATCTTGTGAGTAGACACACCGCCATAGTGACAGTATTGGGCAGCGCCACTCATCTTGTGAGTGGACACACCGCCATAGTGACAGTATTGGGCAGCGCCACTCATCTTGTGAGTAGACACACCGCCATAGTGACAGTATTGGGCAGCGCCACTCATCTTGTGAGTGGACACACCGTCATAGTGACAGTATTGGGCAGCGCCACTCATCTTGTGAGTAGACACACCGCCATAGTGACAGTATTGGGCAGCGTCACTCATCTTGTGAGTGGACACACCGCCATAGCAGCATGTACAACACTCCCCAATAGGAAGAAAACCCGCTGGGTTGTTCATCCTGTCACTTGTACCCAGACACAGCTGGGACTTGCTTAACTGTCTCAAGTGAACAGCTCCTCAAACAAGAAGATTAACATCTGCCATCCCTTAAAATCTTACGTTATCTTGCTGGTGCAAAATGGAGAAATCTTTTAATAACAGGAGCGGTGCTGTAACTGACTGATGCCCCTGTTCACCCAGCAGTAACTAGGTACCCGCTGCCGGGAGTTAGTAAACTGTTGTGGGTTGTACCCCGGGGAATGTCAGTAATTAACCTGTGAGGACCTGGATAAGCCTGAGAACCCAACCCTAACAGCGGGAAAATAACAAATAATTTAAAATCATAAAGTCTTTAATACAAAGATTTAGCTTCAGTACACAGTACACAGTACTTCAGTACACAGAGGTCACAACAGTGCGATACATCAAGTGAACACATCCACATAATGCACAAATGGAATGTATTAGGAAGTGATGTGGAGAAGGCTGACTCCATACACAGTTTCAAATGTAGATATGATAGAGCCCAGTTGGCTCAGGAACCTGTACACCAGTTGATTGACAGTTGAGAGGCGGGACCAAAGAGCCAAAGCTCAACCCCCCGCAAGCACAACTAGGTGAGTACAAGGGCCGTTGACCATGTGGCACAACCGACTAAGGCGAGTCTGGCCTCATCCTGGACGTAGGTTCGAACCCTCATCACAGCCCTTGTTTATTTGTTCATTTACTTTCACCTTTGATTTAATACATTAATTTGAAAAACTTATTGTTATTAATGACAGAGGTGACAAGTATTTGGTAAATAAGGAAAATCAATTATATAGTCTTAGATTTCAAACTTATAGACTAAATGCACAATAATTTTAAATATATTGGCCATGCCTCTGGCGAGTACGTAATGTGTGGTAACGAGACAGGCTCACACCCCCAGGCTTAGGTGACAGGGAGGTGATTGTTGTTGGTGGTGGTTGAGGGACAGGGATATGATTGTTGGTGGTGGTTGACAGACAGGGATGTGACTGTTGGTGGTGGTGGTTGAGAGACAGGGATGTGACAGTTGGTGGTGATTGAGGGACAGAGATGTGACAGTTGGTAGTGGTTGAGGGACAGGGGGATGTGATGCACACTAGAGTTCAAGAGCGTGTCAACAAACCGTCTGTCTCTCCATGACAACAATTGGTTAATACCGGCCACTCTCCCCCTTGGGTCACCCTGAACACCTCCTACATCACTCTTATGCTTCACTTATATTTCAAGTTATTTTAAGTTATTTTAAGTTGTGTTTTCATACATTCAAGTTGATGTATCTGATGATTCTCTCCTGCTGCCACCAGTGGGTCTCACAGTCACTCTGCCACCAGTGGTTCACTCAGTCACCCTGCCACCAGTGGTTCACTCATGGTACCACTGGTTCACACACCGTCTCATCAGTTCATAATAATGCACGCAGAGATCTTAGATAACACATATATAACACCCAATACATATGTACCGGTTGTCAGGATCATCTCAGGCCTCCACACACATTATGTAAGTTAACCTACACGTTCTCTTCCACATTCTCATTGAACCATATTTTGCCATAACTGGTCGCATAGTTTCAATATTGTAATTGTATTCGATACCAAAATAGCCAAACTGACATTTGGTAAAATTCACAATTTGAGTTCAATAATATGTTCAAAGTACACATAGAAATCACAACAGCCTGATACATCAAATGAATAAATCCACAAAGGCCATGATGAGGGTTCGAACTTACGTCCAGGATCATCCCAGATGCGTTTTAGTTGATTGCGTCACAACATGGTCAAAAGAATTGCAACCGGGAGTGCTACTGCCCCCACATGGATTCTGCAGCCTCTAAAAAAAACGGTTTCTGTCTCGGAGAGGCTGCGGGAACTGTGTGAGGGCACTAGCCATCCCGGTTGCAATTCTTTTGACCATGTCGTGGTGCAATCGACTAAGGCACGACTGGGATCATCCTGGACCTAAGTTCGAACCCTCATCACGGCCTTTGTGGATTTGTTCATGTTCACAGTAGATGTCTCCATATTAATGCTAAAGTAATTAAAGTGCAAATTCACTCACAATTTATATTAACATGTTTTTGCAATTGGTTTATCTAATGTAAAAAACTTTCATAATTACTCACAATAAAGCCTCCTTACAGTAGCCAAATAACAGGGGATATCAATATGACAACATCGCTTTATCTTTTAGAGTGGAGAGTAGCTCACAAAAGTTTGGGATAGTCTCCACAGGAAGGGAAGCCGGGTGGGACGGGAGGGAAGTCGTGATCACTACCAAACTTGAAGACCACCTCCATGCCGGCCACGGAGTGGAAGAGGATGTGGCAGTGCAACAGCCAGTACCCTGAGAGCCAGACAATACCAGGGTTATGACCTTATTCGTGGTGGGCTTGATGGCTATACCCGCCACCAGAGTAATGAAGTTGAAGACTACGAGCATGCGAGAGCACCTGTGCCACACCTGCCCAGGTGCTCGCGCACGGTCGTAGTCCTCAACTTCACTACTACTTCACTACTCACCAGAGGGTTATTAAGGAAGACCACAATAGTTTTCTGACCAGCCAGCATGTATAATTCTCGTCGGCGGGGACAGGAAGCCTGTGCACAAGTTTATCGAGGTCCTACCCTAGGCCTAGCTAGGTCATCTACTGACCTTCCCTAGAATGCAATCCATAACAATGGCCTAACTCCCGGGTACTGCTAGGTGAATGGGAGCATGAGGTGAAAGGAAACATGCTCCGCCATTTGTGTCCTATCTGAACATCGAACCCGGAATCCTCAGTTATGAGCGGAGAACGTAGACCACAGTGCTACTGGACTGGGTGAGTATAGTGGTCGGACTAAAGTACACTCTCGGTGTATATACAGTACACCGAGAAGAGTGGGTAGACCTCTCGGTGTATAAACAGCTTGTGATATTAGCATATTACGAAATATGATTTCTATCGGCCGAAACATTATGAGCGAAAAGACTCTAGAAACTTGGAAGTGGGATAAGAGTGAAGAGTAACCCGTTATATGTGTCATAATTGTCCTTACTGCTTAGAATAAATACATTAAATAATGTTATATGAAAATTACATACGTGTTTACTCCCCACTTTGGTGGGGTGCTGAAGAAAAGAAACCTCCCCCACCACACCTTCCACACTATACAGTACCAGGGAGACCCACCTCCCCCACTGTACAGTACCAGGGAGACCCACCTCCCTCACTATACAGTACCAGGGAGACCCACCTCCCCCCACCACACTTTCCACACTATACAGTACCAGGGAGACCCACCTCCCCCACTGTACAGTACCAGGGAGACCCACCTCCCCCACTGTACAGTACCAGGGAGACCCACCTCCCACACTGTACAGTACCAGGGAGACCCACCTCCCCCCACCACACCTTCCACACTATACAGTACCAGGGAGACCCACCTCCCACACTGTACAGTACCAGGGAGACCCACCTCCCCCACCACACCTTCCACACTATACAGTACCAGGGAGACCCACCTCCCACACTGTACAGTACCAGGGGGACCCACCTCCCCCACCACACCAACAAATCCCCCAAACCAGCATCCCGGCACTTCTTATGACTAGGTGTATACTAAGAGTTGAGTTATCCTAAAAGATATGAAACATTCCCTCTTAACAGATTGATTATAATTATTTGTATTCCATACATACTTCTTGTGACCTGCTCACACTCAGTCACTGTACCTCACACTGACTAGCCGTTACATACCCTCCGTCCTCACACTTTTCACGCTCACACTCAGCCTTTGTCGTGGGAATATAGAGAAATACCCATATAACTCTCAAAGCTCCTGAGAATGCGCAAACATTTCCTGAATATATTTCAATCTATAGAACAAATACAACGTTTATATATATTATATATTATAGTGTACCTGGATTAGAAGCAATGAACCTGACAATGGTGTAGCCTCCATCAGGCACAGCGACGGTATCCTTCAACACCGGATGGTCAAAGTTCCTTTTCAACTGACCTCTCAAATCCATCTCGATCACCTGAGCAAAAGTAAATAAATTAATAACAATGTATCAGTTAGAATCTAATTTGTAGTCCAACCAATTTTTGCTTGGTGTCTCCGAGTATGGAAAACCACAAGGAGAACTAATATATTAAGAAACCCAGGCACTTTTAGCACGGTTCTGTAGTATAATGACAATTTATGGTTGTGTGATGCATTCTCTTTTATAATATGATAATTATGGTTGTATTTACAATTAACGACAATAGGTTAACGAAAAAGGTAACAAAAAAATAGAAAATAGTATAACCTTGAGAGAGGAAAACCAACTCAGTATAAGGCAAGGAAAGTTTCAGAGACAAGTTTTGAAAGACTCAATACCAAAGATGTTGCAGAGAACATAACAGCGGAAACTCGCTCTGCAGCGAGTTTATATAACATCAGTAACTGTGTTATATAAACTCGCTTTAAGTACCAGGGAGCTTTATAAGCTTTAAACATTGAAATTGGAATTTAAATAAGTTTACTTAGGTAAAATACACACACACAGATGAGGTAGCTCAAGCTATTGTCACCCCGTTCAGTACATCGTGTTAATACATAAATAATAAATAAATAAATAAATAAATGTTTATTCAGGTAAGGTACATACATATAAGAGGTTTTACAAAAATTGATAGATTTATAGATAGAGCTAGTACATGCAATGCCTAAAGCCACTATTACACAAAGCATTTCGGGCAGGAAAAACATTAAGACTAAAACTTAATACTAATTGAGATTAAAGTATAAAATGTGTTGAGAACAATTAAAAATAAAAATAAAAAAGGGGGGAACATGGCAGAAAAAGCAGCACAAATACAATTAGGTCGACAAACAGCGTTGTTTAAGAAAACAGACATGGGTTGACAATATAGGGGTAAGGTAGGTTACAGGGAATTTATTAGATAGTGCTTAGTTTTTATCTTAAACTGGTTGAGAGAGGTACAGTCTTTAACATGGTTGGGAACGTCATTCCACATTCTGGGTCCCTTGATTTGTAGAGCATTTCTAGTTTGATTAAGTCGTAATCTTGGAATATCAAAACTGTATTTGTTTCTGGTGTTGTGCTCATGGGTTCTGTTACAACCTTCAATGAAGCTTTTGAGGTCAGGATTGGCATTACAGTTCAGCGTTTTATATATGTATAATACACATGAGAGAATGTGCAGTGACTTAATATCTAACATATTCAGAGATTTGAATATGGGTACTGAGTGATGTCTGGGGCCAGAATTGGATATTGTCCTAATAGCAGCTTTGTGTTGAGTAATTAGAGGACGTAAATGATTTTGGGTAGTAGAACCCCAAGCACAAATACCATAGTTGAGATATGGATAGATGAGGGAGTAATAGAGCATCACCAGGGCATGGCGAGGCACATAATATCTGATCTTAGAAAAAATGCCAACAGTTTTTGAAACTTTTTTTGATATATTTAGAATGTGTCCCTGGAAATTCAGCTTTGGGACAATGAGAACGCCAAGGAATTTGCCATCTATTTTGTTACAAATTTGGGTATTGTTTATCCTGAGATTTATTTGATTAGAGGATTTATTGCCAAACAGAATATAGAAAGTTTTGTCAATGTTAAGGGTGAGTTTGTTGGCAGTTAGCCAAAGATGGACTTTATTTAGCTCAGTATTCACTGTGGCATTTAGAGCATACATAGACACACATCACAAACAATAAACATATTGCCGAACATTCTGAGAGATAATCATATACATTTCTTCCTTTACATAAGTAGTATGGTATCAGACATACTTTTATGATTAGGTATACAGACAATTTGCAAGAGACATTCAGACAATGCAACAAAAGGTCACAATCTTGATGCAAAATTCTTATATTTCTCCAGAATATCATCAATGTTTCCATTGTGACACATCCAGGCTCTTTGTTCAGGAACAGTTCTTATCTCAGTGTTTCTATATACATTAATCAACGGACAATCAAGAACATAATGGGCAACCTTGAGGTTACCTTACCTTGAGGTGCTTCCGGGGCTTAGCGTCCCCGCGGCCCGGTCGTCGACCAGGCCTCCTGGTTGCCGGGTGTGAGGCCTTAACATACCACATAGTTTACACTTCGTGTCATTATCATGAACACCTATCCCATATTCCCAGAAATATTTGTACCCAAGCCTGAGCCACATGTACACAGAGTCACTCCAAGCATTTCTCCTTTTACCATAAGTGAAATAGGTGTTTTGACTCACACACATGTAATATTGCATGGTTTGGCTTCCCTCATGCATTACACCTCTCCTCTCCACTTCTTCCTGTGCCTGAATATTTCTGATTTTGCTTCTTATTTGTCTCATTGTGAAAACCCATTCAATGTCAACTTGTGGTTTTGATGTGGCACGTTTGGCTAAGTCATCCGCCACCTCGTTGAGCACTATTCCAACACGAGATGGAATCCACATGAATTTCACTTTTTGACCTTTCAGCTGTATCTCATTTATCATTTCCTTACAATCCTTAACTTTGGACATGAAGACTGTATTTCGACTGTTTAATGAATCAAGTGCTCCTCGACTATCGTCAAATACAAAAACATCTTTGTCGTTTTGACGTACTTCCACTAAACAAACCAGAATGGCCTTCAGTTCAGCTTGTATGGACGATATATAATTACTAAGTCGAAATTCAATTTTCCTGTCCACAGTTCCAAACTCAGTATATTCTCTTATTAGGACACCACACCCTGCCCTGCCATCCTCCGCCACCGACCCGTCACAATATACATGTAAACTGTTGCCTCTTGGTAACCCAGATATCATGCTTCCATACAAACACCGTAATTGTCCCGGTTCATGATGAATCTTTTTCACCTTGAGGGGTAAAATTTCGACATCTATTTTCTATACTTTCCAGGGAGCAGACCTGTTACACTGGTGAGAGGGTTTACAGCAGTCAAGTACGTCGTATTTCCTGAGGCTTTAGTAGCTTGTCACTTGCTTAGCTAAATGAACTATGGGATTCAGTTCCTGAACCGATATGTGCCTCTGTAACCCTTTACACCACCGCTCATGGGATCGGTATGGGGTGCATAATCAAGAAAGAATCATCAATCATCATGGCTCTGCAGCGAGGCGTTAAACTCTTGGAGTGCCAACACCAACTGTGAGCAGAGGCCAGAGTGCGGAGAGTAGTGTGACGAGGTTTAAAGACTTAGGCTGACAATATGTCAGTTCTGGGTTACTATAGGTGGAGGCACACTGCCTTAACGCGAGGTAAAGAGTCGGAGGAAGGTCACACCTTCTGGACTAACATGGCAATGTGGAAAGGGGCCTCCCGGCTGAGTGGACAACGTTCAGGGGTCGTAGTCTTAAGTGCCCGCGTTCGATTCCCAGCAGAGGCAGAAAAAAATGGACAGTTTCATGCTCTGTTCACTTAGCAGTAAATAAGTGCCTGGGAGTTTGCAGTCCCCGTGGCGAAGTGGTAACACACTCGATTGGTGTTTCCCAAGCGCTTTGCCCTGGGTTCGTATCCTGGCTGGGGAGGATTGACTGGGCGTCAATCCTTAACTGGCGCCTCTGTTCACCCAGTAGTGAATGAGTACCTGGTTGTTAACCGAGTTGGCGGCTTTACAAGAAAGTGAGAACTCTTGTATATATAAATAAATAAAAAATAAATAAATAAAAAATAAATAAATAAAATAAGTTAGACACCTGGGAATGTGTGTGTGTGTGTGTGTGTGTGTTAGAGAAATATATGTAGTAGACATAAGACGAAAAATAGTTGGTTAAAAAGGTGGGGTCCAAGAGCTAATTGCTGGATTCTGCAGGAATCGTAAATACAGGAAGCACCCTGCCTTAACGCGGGAAGGGAGGTGACCTCGGAGGGAGGTCATACCATCTGGGCTAAGAGCAAAAGAACCACTTCGACTAGATGGATGAGCGAGTTCGAAGTTTAACGGGATACAAACAGTGCTGATGGCTGGAGTCATCCAGATTGGAATTTAAATACAAAAATGACAATGAAAATAACTTGTTATGATTACAACATTTATATTTTCATACTACCATTTGCCCGAAACGCTGTGCCTATTATCATTTGCCAGGAAATGCCCTCCCGCAACTTCTGCCAGCGTCTCAACCTCTATGGTTCATCGAGTCTCTGTTAATTAGGCCATGACCCAAGTCTGGCGGAGACTTGAGCGCCTACAAGTCATCAGTGGCTTTAGGTATTGTGTGTACTAGTTCAGTCTATAAATCCAACAGTCTGTTTGTATCTCATCTTCTATGTATGTACTTTTACCTGAATAAACATTTTGAATTGATTTGATTAATTGGAGGAAGAAGTGGCCAGTGGAGTGGATGTGTCACTGACCTGACTCCGTGTGATCTCAGCTTCAGGAACATCGTTGGGGCGGTCTTGGCCCAGCACATAGAAGTACTCCCCATGCAGGTGCACTGGGTGGCTGTCATCACCATTTTGTCCTATAAAAGGCAAAATGTATACAAATGGCAAAATATAACTAAATGGAAATTAGAGTTAATGCAGACTAGGTGACTGTTTTATAAAATTTCAATGTTAAATGAAATAAGTTAAATGATTACAAGAAGGAAATGATTAAGATGTTTAAATACTTCAGCATATTCATAAAAGATGACATATTAGAAAGAGAATGAAGAGAAAACAAGATTTATAAGAGCATATTTGAGAGGTGACTGGGCCGGGTTGATAGGAACCCGGGTCGACCCGGCCACTGAAAGGCTGGCCTATAAGGCCAAACCCGACCTGCCAGTGGCAGCCCTTGCTACACTATACACTATATAAAAGTATTAACTCTTGTTATAAATACTCTATATGAAACGGGTAAAGTAGTAAAGTTATAACCAAACATGTGTATAATGTTGGATGTACAATACAGTACTGAATACTGTACAATACTGTACAATAACGATAGAAATACTGGTTCAGTAACAGGGTTGTTGATTTGTGGAACCAATTGCCGCGTTGTTTGGTAATATGTTTATTTGTGATGTGTGTCTATGTATATATTAACACGTTGTACTGAATGGGGTGAGAATAGCTTGAGCTACCTCATCCCTTTGTGTGTATTTTACCTCAATAAACTTATTTCAATTTCAATTTCAATTTCAAATTGCCGCGTAACGTGGTGGATGTGAGGTCCCTCGATTGTTTCAAGCGCGGGTTGGACAAGTATATGAGTGGGATTGGATTGTTATAGAAAGGCCTATTGGCCTCGTATGGGCCAATAGGCCTTCTGCAGTTACCTTTGTTCTTATGTTCTTATACAAACCTTCATCAATTAAGACCAGCTCGACGAGGGAGCCGAGGGGGATCTCATACATATGGAGACACCCGCAGTAGTCTTGAGCACAGTTCTTGCCAGGGGGCGGCACATCAACATTGCAGATCTGTTCCTGCGCCTCACCGCCCAGGATCAGAGGAGTGGACAGAGCTACATAAGACAGGTTGTTGATCTGGGGTGTGGTCACTCGCTGGCTTTCATCAACTTCATGTAAATAAACACAAGGTTCGAAGGTTCACTAAAATGGTTCATTACACAACCACACATACCGTATGTTTCTCACATATATTGAGAAATCTTCGAAAATTAAATTACATCCGAAAATATGTTTTTTAATAAACTTACAGATATATTGAGTCTTTCCTTCACGTACATAATAATATGATAATAATTAAATGATAATTGCAGTAAATTAAACTTACCTAGATCATAATTATAATAAATTCGAGAGTAGAAGTTGTCATTATTTACGCCTCGGACTTGGAAAGCGAGATAGATAGTGAAGTCAGGCTTGGGGGTCCTGAGGGCGGCTGGTAGTGAGTATGGTGACCTCAGGTCACTAACACATATAAGGTCATCATAACAGGCACTGTTGATGCTGTTCACTTGCTAGAAGGATATTATGTATATTAGCCGCTGCCACACTTTGGCAACAGGGAAATTCATATATTGACTGAAGACATAACAAATGAAGGTTTATATATCTATTTATCTGTCTATCTATCTATCTATCAACCTATATCTCTCTCTCTCTCTCTCTCTCTCTCTCTCTCTCTCTCTCTCTCTCTCTCTCTCTCTCTCTCTCTCTCTCTCTCTCTCTCTCTCTCTCTCTCTCTCTGTATATATATATATATATATATATATATATATATATATATATATATATATATATATATATATATATATATATATATATATATATATATATGGGGGGATTCGAACCCATGCTCTAGGTACTGCCAAGCAATTTCTTATTTGGAAACAGGAATGCAATTTTATGTAACAAATTACCGGGTAACATAACAGGTGTGGGATCGCTGCGTTGTTTCAAGAGTAGTTTGGCACATGTGTGAGTGAGTGACAGTATTGGGCAGCGTCACTCATCCTGTGAGTGGACACACCGCCATAGTGACAGTATTGGGCAGCGCCACTCATCCTGTAAGTGGACACACCGCCATAGTGACAGTATTGGGCAGCGCCACTCATCCTGTAAGTGGACACACCGCCATAGTGACAGTATTGGGCAGCGTCACTCATCCTGTGAGTGGACACACCGTCATAGTGACAGTATTGGGCAGCGTCACTCATCCTGTAAGTAGACACACTGCCATAGCAGCACGTACAACACTCCCCAATAGGAAGAAAACCCGCTGTTGCCTATACATCTTGCATATCCTCTGAAGTGTAGCTTATACTGTACAGTACTGTATTCATAAGACTTTCAAGAGCTTTCAGTTCACGTCGATAAACATTAATAATAATTTCTCTTTAAGAAAACTCTACAATACTGAGCTTATGACATCCTGAATAAAAGCACATCCCGCAAGAATTAACATTTAATGTGTGATAAATTCACAATATTTAGTGCAGAAATACACGACTCAGATTTGATTGAATAATCATTTCTCTTTTATTGACATTAAACTGTTCAGCTATATAGTTATGTATACCCACGTTTGTAAAGTTAATTTGTGAGTGATTAGTTAAACTATAGTGATTATTCCTGTCTTCTACAGTAGAATGGTGGCGATACTCAGAGTACACAATGGTGGTGATACTCAGAGTACACAATGGTGGCGATACTCAGAGTACACAATGGTGGTGATACTCAGAGTACACAATGGTGGGGATACTCATAGTACACAATGGTGGGGATACTCATAGTACACAATGGTGGGGATACTCAGAGTACACAATGGTGGGGATACTCATAGTACACAATGGTGGCGATACTCAGAGTACACAATGGTGGGGATACTCATAGTACACAATGGTGTCGATACTCAGAGTACACAATGGTGGGGATACTCATAGTACACAATGGTGGCGATACTCAGAGTACACAATGGTGGCGATACTCAGAGTACACAATGGTGGCGATACTCAGAGTACACAATGGTGGCGATACTCAGAGTACACAATGGTGGCGATACTCATAGTACACAATGGTGAGGATACTCAGAGTACACAATGGTGAGGATACTCAGAGTACACAATGGTGAGGATACTCAGAGTACACAATGGTGAGGATACTCACTACTCCTGGTGGCGGGACGTCAGAGAACTGGGGCTTGGGAGCCATAGTACTCAACAAGGTGGTGTCGTCATACACTGTAGAGCTGCGAGTCACGTACTGGAGGAGAGCAAACTGGTGAGCTTGGGACTCAGCACAGTCGACGCCACCCATGAAGCTCATCCAGAATGCCCCAGATGAGGAGCTGCCAGCTTGGACCACAACATCCCACCGCTCTCCTGCAGGTCACCAGAGGTCAACACGGGGTCATATTCTCACTATAGTGCTTACCGTTGGTGTCTCTGGACTGGTGCCTCTCCTCCCCAGCAGCGTGGGTAGTGATAATGTATGCATGGATTTGTGTATGTATGTATGTATGTATGTATGTATGTATGTATGTATGTATGTATGTATGTATGTATGTATGTATGTATGTATGTATGTACGTACGTACGTTTGAGTGAATGTGGTCCTCTTAATGTATATATGCTGCTTAGCATTGTAAATGTGTGGCCACGTTTGTGGTAGAAAATAATAAAAAAAAAAAATTAATACCTGGCGGAAAGTCAAGTCATTTAAGAGACAATGTCTCAGCTTATACGGATGTGAACTGTTGCACCACCATATGCAAGCCTTGATCAGTTAAATTGTGAGTGACGACAATGTCCCTCCTGATCATAGAAGTCCAAACTTGTACTCATTTAATAAGACTTAATTGCAATCCTCAGATTAAGCAAAATTGTAATTAATTTTGTCAATAAAGATGTTAATAATAATACTAACTCATTCCAATCCGTCTTACCAGATGGCCACACCTACACTTGAAGAAATATTTACAAAAAATGAATGATTTTCTCCTGACTGAAAGTAATCACTCATCCAACACACATAATAAACTATTTTTCCGACATGCACTTATCACTGGCCACTTAACCTTCACATATATATAAACTTGATTGTTTGAAGATATATAACCTACGGTAGAGTAATGTACATAGTTGTACAGTTGAGGATCGACTGAAACACGTCAGCAGAGAAAGATGTCATAACACCAGAGGGATACTTGGAAGTATTAATTACTGCCATAAAGTAATGGCTTATTGACAAGTATTTTAAATCCTATTGAAGTCAGATCGACGTGTTACCTGAGCTGAGAGTTGAGAGCCACACTGGTCCTGACCAGTCCCTGAGTCTCTTGATGAAACCAGCTGAGGGTTGTGCACATTTCTATAACTTGGTGATATAATTAGTTAATGTTAGTGATAATTAGTTAATATTAGTTATCCTTTATATTGTCTTCAGTGATATAAGCCTCACCGTTGTTACTGTAAGCTGTAAGATTTATTATGGCTGTACACCTGTTGACTCCAGCTCAACTGTACACCTGTTTATATATATATATATATATATATATATATATATATATATATATATATATATATATATATATATATATATATATATATATATATATATATATATATATATACATACACACAAGAAGTTACATTGGGTTTGAGAGTCCATATCATGGTGTGTTTACATTCTTGTAAAGCCACTAGTACGCACAGCGTTTCGGGCCTAAACACTAGTATTACTAATACTCACAATACTCACTATGAACATGGAGAATGTTGTGATCACTCTGGAGAACACAAGAGCCACCAACCTGAATACGTGACAAGAGATTGAGCAGTGCGAGGCACGATAGGCCGGCCGTCTGAGGCTATCACCGTCAGGTCGTGTTGGTCAATGGACACAACGATGGGACAGCTGAGTATGGCAGTGTTGATCACCCGCATACGGTATCTCTTACCTGACAAACGGAACACCTGTCTTAACAAGAACATATATAACACCGGGATAATAGGTATAGGGCAATACATATAATGCTAGGAACAACAATAACACAGAGAATACACATACAACTCGCTAATATAAAAACATTCGTACTCACTAATAAGGGTTATTTATATATAGATATGCTAAGTCTTAAGTATGTATGGAGTACTGTATGTACTCGATATATATACTTAACATACTGGAGTACTTATGTACGTATGGAGTACATTAGTACTCCATACATAAGGGTGTATAGTGTATTGTATTTATGGAATACTGCAGTAGGCCTAGCTCCTGATTAGGTATACTGCAGTATTACTTGTAACCCTAAGGTAACATAATGTAACAATTCTAACACTTAGTATATCTATATAACTTTACGATAAAATTAGTCTGTGCAAGTTAAATTTCAAATAGTAATTTCATCTTCCTAATTTTACACAATACGTTTGGCCAATCTTTTTCTAAACATAAACTATAATTTATTTTGTGCTGCTATACACATTATTCCTTCGGTCACAACTGTAATATGTATGCATAAAATCACTTACGAACGGAGCTTGAGTATATACATTTAAACCAATTATAGTATTATCAGTCAAACAGAAAGCTTCAAATAATATCATTTAGAATATAATTATTTTAGTTATGTTTATAACCTCAGTAACATCGCTCCTCACTGAAGAATGTAAGAAATACATATATAAGTAGATGGTACTTGAATGGTTGTGAGAAAATGTCTTAAAGGATATAAGCTACCGAATATCAAGTTTATGCCCCGATTTTGTTTCTCTTATTATTTTATTCATCGTGGATCATATTTCGAAAATAGACAGAAATAATCTTCAATTCAAAATAAAGCCTCATACCTGGCGAGACTTTGAACCTCTTGTATGGCACTAGAGCCGCGAGTGACGAGTCATTGGCATGCTGAAAAATTATTTTACATTATCAGTAGACCTTATATAGCATTATCAGTAGACCTAATATAGCATTATCAGTAGACCTAATATAGCATTATCAGTAGACCTAATATAGCATTATGAGCAACCCTAATATAACATTATGAGCAGACCTAATATAGCATTATAAGTAGACCTAATATAGCATTATCAGTAGACCTAATATAGCATTATCAGTAGACCTAATATAGCATTATCAGTAGACCTAATATAGCATTATCAGTAGACCTAATATAGCATTATGAGTAGACCTAATATAGCATTATCAGTAGACCTAATATAGCATTATGAGTAGACCTAATATAGCATTATCAGTAGACCTAATATAGCATTATGAGTAGATCTAATATAGCATTATGAGTATACCTTATATAGCATTATGAGTAGGCCTAATATAGCATTATGAGTAGACCTAATTGACCAACAAGGACTAACCTGATACGGGCCCCGACCATTGACCAACAAGGACTAACCTGATACGGGCCACGACCATTGACCAACAAGGACTAACCTGATACGGACCCCGACCATTGACCAACAAGGACTAACCTGATACGGACCCCGACCATTGACCAACAAGGACTAACCTGATACGGACCCCGACCATTGACCAACAAGGACTAACCTGATACGGACCCCGACCATTGACCAACAAGGACTAACCTGATACGGGCCCCGACCATTGACCAACAAGAACTAACCTGATACGGGCCCCGACCATTGACCAACAAGGACTAACCTGATACGGGCCCCGACCATTGACCAACAAGGACTAACATGATACGGACCACGACCATTGACCAACAAGGACTAACCTGATACGGACCCCGACCATTGACCAACAAGGACTAACCTGATACGGACCCCCACCATTGACCAACAAGGACTAACCTGATACGGACCCCCACCATTGACCAACAAGGACTAACCTGATACGGACCCCCACCATTGACCAACAAGGACTAACCTGATACGGACCCCGACCATTGACCAACAAGGACTAACCTGATACGGGCCCCGACCATTGACCAACAAGGACTAACCTGATACGGACCCCGACCATTGACCAACAAGGACTAACCTGATACGGACCCCGACCATTGACCAACAAGGACTCTGGGGACTCACTACCACCACCATAGTGTCGCAGGACAAACTTGTCCTGGGTGGGAATGTGTAGCCAGTCTGTCACCTGCGAAAAGACTCAAATTTAAAAAGTTATTTAATAACCCAATTTTCTGGGGGTAAATGCTCCAAATTTATTACAACATTTTTATTCTTATTATCGTGATTGATATGTGTTATAAATTAATATTTCCACCTTCGTAACCGAGAAAATCTAATTGAAATGTTTTTTTATAAGAGAGTTTTAAATGTTACAATAATGATAAAAACTTTGCCAGCCATTCGTGTTAACTTGCCATTGGAGGGAATAAAATTTTGAAATACGTAATATGTGACAAATCATGGACTAACAAGAATTGGTTCGAGTAAATTAGAGTAATTTAAGCATGTTCATTTTGATGTGAACGTGCTATGGATGACCTGAGCATGTTAGGGGTGACCTGACTATGTCAGACGAGACCAAATATGCTCATCATTTTTTTTAAATGTATGACGCTGACAAGCCTAAACCCAGAGGGCAGAATCATACTACCAAATTTCTGTTGAATAATGGATAATACTGAAAACATTTATGTAACTAACCGGCAGAACGCCAAATTACATAGAAACCCAAATAAAACCCGGCCATACCATCATCACATGCTGAGAAAGATCAAAGTCATAGGTGCCTCGGTTGGGATCCATGGATGGCGGTTGTCGAACAATGAGAGCCCCGAACACGCCGTCGCCTCTCTCGAACCCTGCCAACAGGTGTGAGAGGATGGGTGGGTTGTAGGTCCAGTGGTGTCGTGTGTGAGGTGTCATGGATACTACCCCACCCCTCCCCCACCCAAAATGATTATGTACCGGGTACCAATTTGCAGCTAGGTGAACAGAAGCATTAAGTGAAAGGAAACGGCCCAGCCATCTCTGTCCCTCCCGGGATTCTAGATTGTGAGGCGAGAACTAACACAAGTGTACTAAAATTATCTGTACTTAAATTATCTCAGCAGACATTCAGAAATTAGCAGTATTGCAATTAAATGATTGTTATTAATCAGTTAATAAATTTACAGTACACACAAAATTTGTCCGGGCTAAACCACAAAACTAGCCATATAGTTCCGCCCTGTGGTAATTTAGGATACTTATTCACTGAAATACTTAAAAAAAGAAAACTTACCTTGATGTGAATGATAAAAGTGCGTGCCGGGTTCAGTGGCATAGAAGGAATATGTGAAAGTTTCACCGGGACCAACAGGACACTGTGTGAGGCCAGGGACGCCATCCATGTAGGGGGTGCCACGGTCTCCACTGCCAATGGACCTCATGGTCTGACCGTGCCAGTGCATAGTTATCCCTTCTTCGTATAAGGAATTCTTGACCTCCACCATTATAAGGTCGCCGAGGCATACCTGATAATGTGGTGAAGTGTGATAAATTAAAGTTTGTGGCTCGTCTTAACCAGCAACCCAAGATTGCTTATCTGTGCCCGAATATCAAGTCATTTTACAAGTGATAACTGGAGATACAGTGTTGCATGTGATAATTTGGGAGTATTACTGATCCAGGTCATAAATGAGGTCACCGGTGCTGTAACTGATGGATAGTGGTCCATCGAGGCCTGGTCGACGACCGGGCCGCGGGGACACTAAGCCCCGGAAGCACGTCAAGGTAACCTCAAGGTAGTGTCATGTTCAGAGCAGACGCTGCTGCCCGTCTGTATTTGCCGCTGCGTTTCATACGCCATCAATGTCAACAGAGAGAGGACGCCTGCCACTCTTCGTCGAGCTAGTCATGTACTACATACCATTAAAGACAATACCCAAGTAAAGGCTTTATATCCATCCCACACCCTGCCATCAATCACAGCACCGGGAAATATCACAGACGTGACAACTACTGTGTCAAGTGATGATTCAGGGGGGAGGGGGGGGGGGTAGCTTACCTGGATGGGGGGACCGGGCATCTGCTTGTTGATAACAACAATCCGGCGCTTGACACCGTCCCCAGGGATACACTCCGGCCTTCCGCAGTCCGTCGCGTTCTTAGGGCACCCGTAGCAAGCCCTGAAAACAACAACCTCAAGACTGAGCCGCCATAAGAAGAAAGAAGCATCTAACAAGATGGAAGAATCCTGAACCACATCAAGACCAAGCCTCCTCGCTCAGCCTGGCTTACTGCAGGTCAGCGCTCAATCCCCATCGTCCAAGTTGGGCACCATTCCTTTCTCCCGTCTTACTCCAAATCCTTATCGTGATACCGTCCCAGTGCTATATAGGCGTAATGGCTTGGCGCTTTCCCCTTCCCTCTTCGCCCAGCCTGTCACTCCAAGCGGCCGGGCCAACCCTACTACTTACAGGGCCATCCCTCAAGCTACTCTTCTCCTATACCCATTTCCAGCTCGCCCACTGGGTATTTTTTCTGTATATATATTGAATTGTTGAGGTGCCATGAGGAGGAAAATAGACGCTATATACACCGAGAGGAACATTCTGCTCCTCGGTGTATATATACTGAGAGCTCACGTTAGTCTTGACAAATTCCAGGACTGATGTTCAAGTTGGTTGTCAATAAGTGCATGTGACCTTAACTTTGCAGAGGTTGATAGCCTTAAGCCCACCACCACCGCCCTCAGGGTCACACACAACACAAAATATACTGTGTAATGTAAATATTATGTAATTAAAGCTTGAGAGCTTAAAAGCACTTTAGTTCCTCCTGTGATTGAGTGTTAAATAACCCGCTATATAATGTACCAGCTCTCTTACACTGTATAGACGTAAAAATATATATTTATATGTATATTGTCACGGTAATCTCCCTTGGAAGGAGATTAGGCCTGTTCCATCATCTATTCTACCACACCACTTCTAGATATTCAAAAATTTACAGCAAGAACAACAACTAGTGCTCAGGCGTCTAGACAGCAGTCTACTCCCCCTTACTTTCCAGTACCCGTGACCCCCAGCACACCTGATGGCCACAAGCTCACGTCACCAGCTGGGAACAAGCACTCTCCTAGTTTGTCTCTGCCACACCAGCGCCACCTACGTTAAGTCCCATATAAATAGAAGCCAGCCAACCACCACCAGCAGAATACTCTCTCGCGCTCTACTTGCTGGACCGACCCTCACACTACCTTGTGTGGTGGTAGATCTACACAGCTTGGCATACAATATTTTCAGCACTATTTATTTATTTCATGTTCACTAACGTAACATTAAATTGTCTGTTTGATTGTTTTGCACCTTGAAGGTAAGTGAAGCTTTTAAGGAACTATTTTCAGTTTGTGATTTGTTAGTTAATTTTTTTCATATTAATTTAAGGTATTCAAATTTTTCATTTTTATATGTTTTATCCTGCATTTCCAACATTGCGAAGAAGTCAACATAGCAGTTTTATCATAATTTGTTTTCACTTTTTTTTTATATGATCGTGGCCTTCCATCTGCCAAGAGCCACTGCTCTTAGTGATTTTACCGTAACGATATGTATAAGCATATATTGTCACAAGAATCTCCCTAGAAAAGGAGATTAAGCCTATTCCATCATCACCTGCTCAACCAAATAACGTCTGCATAGAGAAATTACAGCAAGAGCAACAACAACATATAGTCTCCGTGGTGTAGTGGTAAAACACTCGCCTGGCGTTCCGCGAGCACTATGTCATGGGTTCGTATCCTGGCCGGGGAGGATTTACTGGGCGCAATTCCTTAACTGTAGCCTCTGTTTAACGCAACAGTAAAATGTGTACTTGGATGAAAAAACGATTCTTCGCGGCAGGGGATCGTATTCCAGGGACCTGCCCGAAACGCTACGCATACTAGTGGCTGTACAAGAATGTAACAACTCTTGTATATATCTCAAAAAAAAAAAAAAAAAAAAAAAACTAGTGCTCAGACGTCTAGACAGTGTATTCTACTCCCCCGCTACTCTCCAGTACCCGTGACCCCCGTCACACCTGGCGACAGTAAGGCTCGCTCCTCTCGCGGGTGAACAAGCACCTCGATTGTTTCTACCTGCCGGCTTGCAATTATCGAGACACCAGCGCCACCTGGACGGCCGTTTTTCCGTATACATAGAAGCTAGACAACTTACTTAGGCAGAGGACCATTTGGTCACCATTTGGTCCGGGAGACATCTCCCGTCACGCAGTGTGCAGTTGCGCCTCCACAGATCTCCAGTATCATCTTTTGATACTGGTAATGGCTCAAAAGGGCCACCACTTACGGGCTATTCATGCCCGTGCCACCTCTTGGGTGGCTTAATCTTCATCAATCAATACTTAGTCAGAACATTCTCAGTGCTCTATAGCTGTGCATCTCTGCTTTCACGCTATCTTGGGTGATGGTAGATTTTCACATAGACGCATGGCCCCTGGGGCAAGAGTGCCTTGGGATTTCTCAAGGAATTGGGCTCCAAGCTCATTGACGTCACCAGAGATCCAAGAACTGCCAGTTTTTTGTTTCAGCGCCTCAGTGTGGCGATCCAGAGGAAAAATGCCTGCTGCATCCTCGGTTCCTGACCGGAAGCGAGGTTATGGATCTCAAGAGATCCATAACCTTTAAGCGCTCTTTGTATCAACCAATGTATATCTTGTAACCTTTAAATATATAATAAAGCAAAAAAAAATCAAAATCAAAAGGAAGGGGGTGGTAGGAGAAAAGTACACAAACTATTGGAGGGGACCTAAACATTCCCTCTAATGCGTTATGTGTGGTTTCCTCCGAGGCTAAGGGTCCTCTTCTTCCAGTATATATATACTGTATATGTATATATACGTCCCCGCGACCGGGCCGCGGGGACGCTAAGCCCCGAAATCATCTCAAGATAACATCTCAAGATAACCTTAAGCCGTATCAGAGGATATATATCTTACTTAGTCAAGATGTTGAATAATTAAATTATAACTTAAGAAAGTTATTTCATTGCCCGCTGAAGAGTGTCACATCGACAATTGTGAGGTTACTTCCCACAAGTGGAGGAATGAGTGAAGGAGGCATCACTCACCTGGACACAGTCTGGTAGGGATGGACATTGAAGTGGAAATAACAGGTTCTCGTGTCTCCCACCACACATTTTCTCTTGCAGATCTTGCCTGAGGGAGAAAGAAAACTAAACATAAACAACAAAATATACTGTTGTTTATTTACATAATATAAAATTTACATAATGTAAATATAATATTTATTTACAACATAAAATATATTGTACTAGTTTTGCTACAGAGACGGACAAGTCTCAATCCATCAAGGAAGCTGCATGTAACACACACGTTCCAAAACCTTCTTAATGTAGATGCAACATGACCGTGACTATCTATACCCATCCAGTTAGAATGGGTGAAAACTGTAACTGACTCGCCGCTGATATAAACTACCTTGTATACTGTTGTGGCTCCCACTTCCTGAATCACTTGTGGTATTAAAAAAAACTATTAATATATGTACATGAATTTGTGTACAAGAAAAAATGTGTAATTAGCTTCACAAGATTGTAACTTGCTTAGCGAAATAAACCATGGGGTTTACTGAACCCTTTATGTGTTTTTATATCCCTTTCCACCACTGCCCACGGGATTCGTATGGGTGGGGTGGGGGGGGCATAATAAACGATTAAACTAATTAGGTTAGACTAGGCTAGCTTCTCTTTGGTTATATAAGTTAGGCACAAATAGATTCTCGAGGCCTCTAAGTCAGCACACAGCAACCCTTCAAATTCTCCGGTCAATTTGTCAAGCATTGTGCTTATAATTAAAATGTATTTACAGCAAAATATTGTCAACATAACCTAACGTTTCCTATTTAACCTAACCAATGTACCGTAATTTAATGATCAGGTGGGGTTATAGAACCATCACACAATCGACTTGAGAATGGTCCAGGACGGACCGAAACGTCGTCGTCCCTTCAACTTCTAATGTGGTCTGGTCAACATACTTCAGCCACGTTATTGTGACGCATCACAATAAATATACTGACCAACCAGCAAGAATACTATGCTAAACAAAGTCCAGGACTAAAGAAACCTTTCAGCGTATCTACACCGAGAAATGGAGTAGCCTAACCTGTAGCACACACAGGCAGTCTCTGCTTCAGGTATTTCATCCTGCAATGTATGTGTTGGCAGCAAGTCACTAACAAACATGACTGCCGCACAAACACTAACACGCACCATTGTTTGTCTTAGTCAGGACCTTAGTTTGGCTACACCTGAGTCTATAGAGGCATGTCTGGAACAAGAACCTTGCGTCTATTTAAGAATGAGTTCTTGCAATCATAATATTTTGCTAAGTGGTTTCCAATAGTCCATTGAGCATCATAATATGAGTTCAAAAGTATAATAATAATAATAATAATAATAATAATAATAATAATAATGTTATTATTATTATTATTATTATTATTATTATTATTAATGTTACAATTATCATCAATATTATTAATTTACTCACCAGACGTATCTGGTGATGTCTTCAGATATTATCATGGAGAGGTTTATATAATACCTCCCCCTACCCCATCATCCATTTATAAATCAACGGTATTATAACGCTTTGATATGTGTACAGTTTTGCGTTCCCACATAGTGTGTGGAGGAATTAATAAACGAATATGGAAACATATTTTAGTACTTTCTTATTAACAGCATGCAATTGCTTGTATTCAAACTAGAGATCCCATAACACAAGAACTCAGAAGTTATATTACAGAAACAAGGTAAGATACACCAACACTGGGAACCTGCAGTCACTTGAACAGTAAATCCATTTAGCTGGCATACACACATATTTGTCTTAAATCCACACTTACATTGATCTGCAGCCTAAGCCACGAACAGGAAATGTATATGTTTATCTCTCAGAATGTTCGGTAATATGTTTATTGTTTGTGATGTGTGTCTATGTATATATTTACACGATGTACTGAACGGGGTGAGAATAGCTTGATCTACCTCATCCATTTGTGTGTATTTTACCTCAATAAACTTATTTCAATTTCAATTTCAATTCAATTTCAAGCCACGAACTCAATCGACTTGTTTACGTCCCCGGCGAGCTGAATCACGTAGTCAGCCCTGGGATACGTACACGAAAACCAATTACTTATTTTCCAAACATCTTAATGAATTTTATGGTGCTGTAGCCTCAACCTGTCCTCCCGCCCAATATCTTGCATTTTGACGTCTTAATCCCCAACGAACAAAATATGATGTACTATAAATCACAACGGCTCACAGTCACGTTTTCTATGTGTGGGCCCATTGGTTAGGTTAGGTTCAGCCAATTTAGTTATTATTATTAATATCTTTAATGACAAAATTTAATTACAATTTTGCCTAATCTGCAATTCAATTAGTCCAATTTAGTATCATTTTTGTGACAACTGAAGAGGTGGAGAGGACGGGCTGGTACCCAAGAGTTAGCAATGTGGTATTCAGAGACCATAGATGTGTATGTATGTATGTATGTATGTATGTATGTATGTATGTATGTATGTATGTATGTATGTATGTACTCGCCTAGTTGTGGTTGCGGGGATTCTTTGGCTCCTTGGTCTCGCCTCTCAACCGTCAATCAACTGATGTACAGATTCCTGAGCCTACTGGACTCTTGTCATATCTACATTTGAAACTGTGTATGGAGTCAGCCTCCACCACATCACTTCCTAGTGCATTCCATTTACTAACTACTCTGACACTAAAAAAAGTTCTTTCTAATGTCTCTGTGGCTCATTTAAGTACTCAGCTTCCACCTTTGTCCCCTTGTTCGTGTACCACCCGTGTTAAATAATCCATCCTTGTCCATCCTGTCAATTCCCCTGAGAATTTTGTATGTGGTGATCATGTCCCTCCTGGCTCTTCTGTCTTCCAGCGACGTGAGGTGTAGTTCACGTAGTCTGTCCTCATAACTCATGTCTCTTAGTTCTGGGACTAGCCTAGTGGCATACCTCTGGACTTTTTCCAGCTTCGTCTTGTGCTTGACTAAATACGGGCTCCATGCTGGAGCTACATACTCCAGAATTGGCCTTACATATGTGGTATACAAGATTTTGAAGGATTCCTTACACAGGTTTCTGAAAGCAGTTCTGATGTCAGCCAGCCTCGCATAGGCCGCTGATGTTATTCTTTTTATGTGGGCTTCGGGATACAGGTTTGGCGTGATATCAACTCCTAGATCTTTTTCTCTGTCCGTTTCGTGAAGAACTTCATCTCCCATTCGGTATCCAGTGACTGGCCTCCTAGTTCCTCCTCCTAGTTTCATTACCTTACATTTACTTGGGTGCAACTTTAGTAGCATTTGTCGGACCATTCCTTCAGTTTGTCTAGGTCATCTTGTAGCCTCATACTATCCTCCTCTGTTTTGATCCTCCTCATAATTTTTGCGTCATCAGCAAACATCGAGAGGAACGAGTCAATTCCTTCTGGGAGATCATTTACGTATATCAGAAACAGTATAGGTCCAAGGACTGATCCCTGTGGGACTCCACTGGTGACTCCCCGCCACTCCGAGACCTCACCCCTCACAGTGACTTGCTGTGTCCTGTTGCTTAGGTACTCTCTTATCCAGTGGAGTACCTTCCCTTTCACTCCTGCCTGCATCTCCAGTTTGTGCACTAGTCTCTTATGTGGTACTGTCAAAAGCTTTCTGGCAGTCCAGAAATATGCAGTCTGGCCAGCTCTCTCTCTCTCTCTTGCCTGATTTTTGTTATGTATGTATGTATGTATGTATGTATGTATGTATGTATGTATGTATGTATGTATGTATGTATGTGTAAGTGGGATGTGTGTACTCACCTAGTTGTGCTTGCAGGGATTGAGCATCGGCTCTTCGGTCCCGCCTTTCAACTGTTGATCAACAGGTAATTACCTAAGGCGTAAAGATTCCTGAGACTACTAGGCTCCATCTATCTACATTTGAAACTGTGCATAGTGTGCCTCGTGTGTGTGTGCAGCCTGCCTGCACGTGTCACTTTCTTCTTTATGTCCACACACACCTATATATCCGTGCTTAAACATCAGGGTAATGACTAATGGATCCAAACGTTAACTATCGCTCATATAATTACATCAGCGGCAGGATTCAAGGTTCACAAATCCCTACATTCCCTAGATTGCATCCACTAATTGTTAATAAAAGTGGGTCATTGGTGGCGAGCAAATCGATGGGTGCCAATAATTAGTGGTCGGATGATTGGGTTAAAGTTTTGTGTTCGTAACCTCAAGCATCATTGCTGTACAAAAAATAGCATGTTTATTTATATCGGACCTGGTTATCGAAATCGTTCCCAGGTTGTATGTTTCGTAATAAACCCATATTGGTTAGTTATGATAGTTATTAGGTGTAGAGAAGTGTCGTCACGTTAGTGGCCGTCCGTCTTGTGAGAGCGGGTACCTGACACATTGGTACACATGCGTACCGTCAGTCACGTTGGTACACATGTGTATCCTGTCACGTTGGTACACATGTGTATCCTGTCACGTTGGTACACATGTGTATCCTGTCACGTTGGTACACATGCGTATCCTGTCACGTTGGTACACATGTGTATCCTGTCACGTTGGTACACATGCGTATCCTGTCACGTTGGTACACATGCGTATCCTGTCACGTTGATACACATGTGTATCCTGTCACGTTGGTACACATGCGTATCCTGTCACGTTGGTACACATGCGTACCCTGTCACGTTGGTACACATGCGCATCCTGTCACGTTGGTACACATGCGTATCCTGTCACGTTGGTACACAAGTGTATCCTGTCAAGTTGGTACACATGTCTATCCTGTCACGTTGGTATTATGCGTAAAACACCGTGAAGCTGTCCTGTTAATAGCCAAGCGTCGTGATAGCCGCGTGCTCCTAGCCCCAGGTGTTGTTCCTAGCCCCAGGTGTTGTTCCTAGCCCCAGGTGGTGGTCCTAGCCCCAGGTGTTGTTCCTAGCCCCAGGTGTTGTTCCTAGCCCCAGGTGGTGGTCCTAGCCCCAGGTGTTGTTCCTAGCCCCAGGTGTTGTTCCTAGCCCCAGGTGTTGTTCCTAGCCCCAGGTGTTGTTCCTAGCCCCAGGTGTTGTTCCTAGCCCCAGGTGGTGTTCCTAGCCCCAGGTGTTGGTCCTAGCCCCAGGTGTTCCTAGCCCCAGGTGTTGTTCCTAGCCCCAGGTGTTGTTCCTAGCCCCAGGTGTTGTTCCTAGCCCCAGGTGGTGGTCCTAGCCCCAGGTGTTGTTCCTAGCCCCAGGTGTTGTTCCTAGCCCCAGGTGGTAGTCCTAGCCCCAGGTGTTGGTCCTAGCCCCAGGTGTTGGTCCTAGCCCCAGGTGTTGGTCCTAGCCCCAGGTGGTGGTCCTAGCCCCAGGTGGTGGTCCTAGCCCCAGGTGGTGGTCCTAGCCCCAGGTGGTAGTCCTAGCCCCAGGTGGTGGTCAACAGGTTTCAGGTGTGTGAGAGAGATGTGGGCCCGCCTGGCTGCCAAGATGCCTCCACAAATATGGCCACGCAAAACTCTCCGTCTTGGATAACCCATTCACGTAAATGACGGTCTTCGAACAGTGTTGTGATACCGCACTTGACACAACCCTCCTACATCCTCACTGACTCTGACCATTTTGTTTTCTGTCGATCAGGTACTCCCATACATGGAGTTTATCCTCTTCTCGGTAATTCCAGCCTGTCTCTCCATCATATCAACCAGTCTTCCGTGTTGAACTATTGGAAAGTCTAGGGAAAAATAGTCAAACCCGGCTTCTTTCTCTTGCCGTAATTGTCTATTAGGATTGACTGACCTGGCGTGACAGGCTCGTGGGCGGTGATGACAGAGGTGAGGGTGGCGATGGCGGCAGCAAGGACCAGAGCCACCATGGTAGCGGCGGCGACAGCACTCAACTGACACACCGCCATGCTGGATGTGTCTTATATACCCTCCGCCGCCCTCTTCAAGGACTAACACACACTTATCACTATTATACAATTAGCATCACCGTGTAACACTTAAGTAAAAAAAACATACAGAAAGTGGAAATCGTATATAGCGAGTTTAATTATTCTTCAGACCAATACGATAATAAGAGTGACGAAGAAAGACTGTTGGACGAGGCTCCTACCCGCCGAAGCATCAAACGTGATGACCTCAAAACAAAAACCGGCTTGAACAAATAATGGGGATGAATTTTGACAAGCCCCCCCGCTTCCTGTCCCCGTCGATGTTACTAGCGATATAGTGGTCCCTCAGGTAAGTTGGTGTGTCATCAACACCCTCTTCGCTGCTCCCCGTGGCCCTGACGGTGGTATATGGATGTCAACGGCTCCGAATTTTGTCACAACTGTTGCAGAGAAACTTTATCAGATCATCTTCATATTTCAGATTAGTTGTGTTCTGTCTGCAGGCGAGCTCACCGGTGTTTAGGCAAAATATATATTCTAATTATGAGTACAGATATTAATCAGAAATACGGGGCATGTATGTACCATTGAATATATTCAATATTAGGTTTGGCCACATTTCTTTTCACCTGAGGCCTCTGTTTATTTAGGAGTAAATAGGTACCCGGGAGTTAGGCAACTGTTGTGGGTTGCATCATGGTGAAGGTCAGTAGTTGACCTAGACTCCTATATAGAGGGGCCTCGTTTAGCCTAACCTAAGCACCCTGTCATATATAATGGGAACCAAAGTCTGTTGATATATGCAATTGTAATGAGGCTTTTCAAGGATTTTGTTAAATTTTATAGCTTTTTGATTCGAAATCCTTAACCAGCATATATAGAGGTACATTTGGTGAGTTTTTGAAAACAAATGTTTTGTTGGAAATCACATTTTTAGCATCAAAAATATTTTCACAATTTTTTCTAAATCTCACCAGGTGTAATTTATTTATATGCCGTTTAAGAATAATGGATCAAAAATAGGTAAATTTAAATAATTCCACGGATAAACTCATTCCTGTATGTAAGGCTATCGTAGTTTGTCACAACCACGTTCGCTTGCCAGGCTTGGGGGTATTCCGATACCAAGCTGATTTGGTTTCAGCAAGTTCACCTCTTCTTGACTGACGATATTTATGGCAGCCTAGGCAACGAGGCGTCCAGTTACAGCCCCGCTCCTGTGTCAGGTAAGTGCACAATGGGTTCACCATAGCCCGTGCTACATGGAACTTTTTGTTCCAAGTAGCGAATCTTAAACAACAACAACAAGGCGTCGGAGAGAGTTGCTAACAGTCATTGGCCCAGTTTCCTAATCCTCATTTAGTGCACAGAGGGAAGCACCAAAAAATGGTGTCTGATGACCTTAGGGACACCACCACCCAGACACGTATTGACGAATCCTGCGACTTCCGAAATATTTGTGACTTACCAAGCAAGTGCAGGGTTGAGAATGTGCTTGGTAACCTCAGCACATTTCCTTGGTGTGCTGGGGTTTTCATCCTGTGAAACCACCTGTTGAGCCGGGTGAAGATGAAGCTCCTTTGAATTTTTTTGTTTTCACCAACAATTAATGGGTTTACTTATGTCATTGACTATTAGTACAGTGTTGTGTTAGGAAGTGGGTGGGTGTTTGCCTTGTAGGACTCTTGCTGTGACAGAATCTCAATTTCCGGGATCATGATTTAGTCCTTACTGGTGATAACTGGAATGCGCCGGCAGTATTTCCCTCTGTTTTTTCCTTTATTTATGCTCTGATATTGGAAGTTTCCAATAATCTATTGTTCATTTATATAGCAAGACTTTCTAAAGAGAAGAGGAGCGACGAGTGTGGAAACAAGACATTACATACTGGAACTGCCCTAATTAATATTGTTGTGCATCATGCTTCAACTGGCCGATGCTGCCACTTTGTACTTGTCTGTATAGGGTGTACCTGTATGCAAAATTATGCTTGTGTGTATGGAGTGCACTGGTATGGGTGTACGGCCATCTTGCCCAAATCAGGCAAGAGAGAGAGAGAGAGAGGGCTGGGCAGACTGCATATTTCTGGACTGCCAGAAAGCTTTTGATACAGTACCACATAAAAGACTAGTGCACAAACTGAAGATGCAGGCAGGAGTGAAAGGGAAGGTACTCCACTGGATAAGGGAGTACCTAAGCAACAGGACACAGCGAGTCACCGTGAGGGGTGAGGTCTCGGAGTGGCGGGGAGTCACCAGTGGAGTCCCACAGGGATCAGTCCTTGTACCCATGCTGTTTCTGATATACGTAAATGATCTCCCAGAAGGAATTCACTCGTTCCTCTCGATGTTTGCTGATGATGCAAAAATTAAGAGGATCAAGACAGAGGAGGATAGTATGAGGCTATAAGATGACCTAGACAAACTGTAGGAATGGTCCGACAAATGGCTACTAAAGTTCCACCCAAGTAAATGTAACGTAATGAAACTAGGAGGAGGCCAGTCACTGGATACCGAATGGGATATGAAGTCCATCACGAAACGGACAGAGAGAAAGATCTAGGAATTGATATCACACCAAACCTGTCTCCCGAAGCCCATATCAAAAGAATAATATCAGCGGCCTATGCGAGGCTGGCTAACATCAGAACTGCTTTCAGAAACCTGTGTAAGGAATCCTTCAGAACCTTGTATACCACATATGTAAGGCCAATCCTGAAGTATGAGGCCCCAGCATGGAGCCCGTATCTAGTCAAGCACAAGATGAAGCTGGAAAAAGTTTAGAGGTATGCTAATAGGCTAGTGCCAGAACTAAGAGGCATAAGCTATGAGGACAGACTACATGAACTTTTTTTTTTTGCAGTGATATTCCTGCGTGGGCCCTAAGCCTCTGGCTGTCCCACTAAGTGTTGCTTGTTTCTGTTTTACTTGGGCGGAGTATGAGTATTTATGACTCGTACTACATGAACTGCAGCTCACGTCGCTGAAAGACAGAAGAGCTAGGGGAGACATGATCACCACATACAAAATTCTCTGGGGAATTGACAGGGTAGACAAGGATGGATTATTTAACACGGGTGGTACACGCACAAGGGGACACAGGTGGAAGCTGAGTATCCAAATGAGCCACAGAAACATTAGAAAGAACATTTTCAGTGTCAGAGTAGTTAGTAAATGGAATGTACTAGGAAGCGATGTTGTGGAGGCTGACTCCACACACAGTTTCAAATGTAGATATGACAGAGTCCAGTAGGCTCAGGAATCTGTACATCAGTTAATTCTCAACCCCCGCAACCACAACTAGGTGAGTACGTGGGTTAATCTTTCTAGCAAGAGCTCCCCTAATATTTCGATCGTATTCCGCACCCTGCCGACTTGTTGGGTACCTCATGTTTCTTTGTTGACGGCTATGGTAATCAAGGTACCATTTCTCTATCCGATCACCCGTAACTTTCCACCCTCACCGCCACTCTCTCAACCTGCTCCCTCCGCCAGGCAAGGGTGAGTGAGGGCTGGGTGACACTTGGACTGGATGGTGAAAGCAGTAGTGAGGGTGGTTATGGTGACTCACCTGATGAAGAAGGCGATAATTACTGAGAGTGGCGCCTCAGCCACATCCTCACTGACCTGGTTATAGCGAGGACGAGGTGTGGCCCAACTTCAAGAGTTACCTATAACACATCTGGAAGCCATAGTCACGCTAGGTATCTTGAGATGATTTCGGGGCTTTTAGTGTCCCCGCGGCCCGGTCCTCGACCAGGCCTCCACCCCCAGGAAGCAGCCCGTGACAGCCGACTAAAACCCAGGTACCTATTTTACTGCTAGGTAACAGGGGCATAGGGTGAAAGAAACTCTGCCCATTGTTTCTCGCCGGCGCCTGGGATCGAACCCAGGACCACAGGATCACAAGTACAGCGTGCTGTCCGCTCGGCCTACCGGCTTCCTGGAACAATGCAATTTGGACAATAAAGAGCAGGGTGGCGCTCCATTAAGTGACCGCGAGTTAAACGTATATGGCCAATTCGTAACCTAGCCAGAGCCGTTTCCCACCGCCGGTTACGGTGGTAGGAGGAAGGCCATGAGGACACACGACAAGAGTATGCAGTTTGTTACCAGTAACAGAAGACCAACAAGCTGCCAACGGGTAAGGATGGAGAAATTAATAACTGGGTGAAAGTCAGAATAAGGAATACCTTTACGAACGAAAGGCACCAGAGCTGAGGCGTGATCCAGTATGGTGTAGAGCATCAAGACGGCGAAGAGTATGAGAAGCAGACAAATAAGCAGGGCAACCATAATCGCGAAGCATCTAGTTTTATCACTGCCATGGGGACTGCTTAATAACTTAGTATAAAACCTCACCACAGGATGGAAAGGGCTTAAAGACAACAATTGACAACTATGATAACAGACTAATGCTAGCACATAAAAGTTAACTAACGGAAGGCATTCAAAATCACATTCTGCTGTGAAAATACTGGGGTTTAGGGCGCCTGACAGCTGAGCAGACAGCGCTTCAGATTTGTAGTACTGAGATTCCGGGTTCAATCCCCGGTGGAGGCAGAAACAAATTGGCAACAAGTTTCTTTCACCCTGATGCTCCTGTTACCTGCAGTAAATAGGTACCTGGGAGTTAGACAGCTGCTACGGGCTGTTTCCTGGGGATGTGTAACAAAAAGGAGGCCTGATCGAGGAACGAGCCGCAGGGACGCTAAGCCCTGAAATCATCTCGAGCTAACCTCAAGATAGGGGACAACAGAATATTTAATATGAGAGTAGATCCAAGGTGAACTGAACTTGAAACGTATTAGAGGAAGCCTTGCAAGAGAAGCGGTAAATTGCCACGGAGGCCTAGAGAATGCAATTGGACAAACATTTTTATTATTTACTAGCAGTACCCGGCCACGCGTTGCTGTGGCTCAGCATGCCATTGATTGCCACTGAAACAGTCTCGCTGGGAGGGAGAGGGGGATATTGGAGCTGTCATTTCGTTGTTGCTGTCACTGCCACCTCGTATGGGGGATCGTTGGGACAGTACTCGCTTACGAGCCTTCTTAAAACAATTTATCATAGGGTAGTAATTCAAGAAGGGAACACATTTGTAGGAGATATAACAGGTTTGGAATGTAAATTCAAATAAATTTATGATTAGTGATAAGGTAAATAATTTTGTGACAGGGTTGCTTAATACATACTTGTATAAAAGCTGAACAAATCTAAAATGACTAAATATTCAAAGGCAACAAACTGCCGACCTAGTAATATTTTAAATCTTAATAAAGCAATTAGTGAAGGTGTGCAAGCCTTGGCTGTAAAAATGGTTACTAGAAATAGCAAAATGAGTACATAAAGAAAAGCCAGAACTTTGATATATATATATACTGCTAGCTTTATATTAGTACACAAATTCCCTAGAATTAGTTCCAGATAGAGAGCAATTGGTTACATCTACCAGGTAATGGGAGCAGTTGGTACACCTACCAGGCAATGGTAGTAGTTGGTTACAACTACCAGGTAATGGGAGCAGTTGGTACACCTACCAGGCAATGGTAGTAGTTGGTTACAACTACCAGGTAATGGGAGCAGTTGGTACACCTACCAGGCAATGGTAGTAGTTGGTTACAACTACCAGGTAATAAGAGCATTTGAACACACCTTTCATATAATGTGAGCAGTTAGTTATAACTATCTACAACAGCACACTTGAGACAGATTTAATTCTCAACCCTAAAACTGTCCCACTGCATTGATCTTTTTTTTTAACTTTTCCTTCTACTGTTTTCTAATCATAATTATTGCCTTGTTTTCCTTTTCCAAACATTCTTCCTTTCAGTGCTAACTAGCAACTGCAGAATTAGGAATTTCTAACATGGTAAAGCAAATGAGGAAGTTTATTGACAAAGGTTATACCGAGACATTCCTTCCCCATCCTACAGGGTTTCCAGAAGGAGCAAAGGGATAAAACTATAGATAACAATGGGGCAGTAATCAAAAGAGAGGAATTCTTGTAAATCATTTCAGAATAAAAATGTTCAGACTGGCAGTAAAATGGTTAATGTGGCATCACACACAAGTGGTATAGGAGAATTCCAAAGAAAATCAAGAATTTTATTTATAATGGACTACATAGAACCCAATATTGTAATGTTTTGTTTCCAGAAGACATAAAAATTTAAAAACAACAATTTACTAAACTTGAAAAATACTTTACTTTGGAATCAACATTTGTAACAGATCTAAAATGAAAAGATAAAATGTTCCCAGTACATAAAGGAAGCATTTTGTACTATTAGGACAAACCCTACAGGAAAAAAAAATTGTGTACTGCCTTCTCATTGTAAGTGAAATTAACTTTCATTAAATCTGGAAATCAAATTTCCATAATGAAAGCTCTGCAGTTACCAATCATGGTAAAAAACCACGAGAGGCGGGAGAAGATAGTTTACATAGCTCTGTCTTCCTTTCATTAAACCAATTTATTTAAATAATTTTTGTTAAGCCCAAGGGAAAATTTATCAGCTTTTTTTTTAACATCTTTCTCCAACATCCATTATGCATAAAAGTTGGGGCAACATAACTTACTTTTCTTACTTTTTCTGAATAATTTTTGTTTAAATAAAATACTGGCTGGCACATGCCTTTTGTTTTTACATATGTATAAATTTTGCTCAAAATACCAACACTTTAAAGAACCTGCATCAATTACCAGCTCCTTCACCTTCCACCTCTTAACTGTACATGGAAACTCGCAGGAGCACCATTGCTACATGGAAACTCGCAGGAGCACCATTGCTACATGGAAACTCGCAGGAGCACCATTGCTACATGGAAACTCGCAGGAGCACCATTGCTACATGGAAACTCGCAGGAGCACCATTGCTACATGGAAACTCGCAGGAGCACCATTGCTACATGGAAACTCGCAGGAGCACCATTGCATCACATCAAACACTATGAAAATTCATGGTAACAAAATTACTCACTCACATGCATATTTCTACTACTGTTGCGCATTTTGTTTTATTTTGTGAAAAGCTGAAGTAAATCATGGTCTTGATCAATAACAAATGTACATAAACCACTATTTGCAGTGAAAAACATAGGTAAACCACTATTTGTTATAAAAAATATATAAATCACTTTCTTGGCGTAAATGTACACAGCCCATTATTACATTGAAACAATTTAATGCAACTAAAATCAACAGCTTACACAATGTATTTAAAGTCAATAAATGTACCGTATTCATATAAAACAAATTTAATTATGAATAAAAATAGAATTAGATAATGTTTAAATGATATTCATGAATGCTTACACAAGATGTTTACCATGAAAATGCATCTCAATTAAAAAAACAAATACAAACATTTGATCATTGATATCCTTCTTAGATACAGTTGCCATCCAAAATAGTGACAGAAAACTGAATTCATGAAGTTCAATATTAAAATAATTGTAGAAGCAGCAACACACAGATAGATAGTGCCACAAGAAATTTACAGATGAAATTTACTATGTTGCATTTACTGTACATTGGAGGGAAAATATAAGGGCAGGAGCTATGCTTAGAAAACTTCAGAAATTTAACAACCTTAGTTGGCAAGTTTTTCTCGTGTGTGCACGGTAGACAATATGAAGAGTTCAAATGGATGAAATTTGTGGTAAAAGTTAATGCAACAAAATTTAAAAACATTCAGTAATGTTGCCAATTGAACATGTTTATAAATAACTTCTCTTTTATTGTAGATTTAAGAAACTAATTAAAACCGTGTTTGTAACAATATCAGTGACACACCTGTCAACAGAAAAAATCTTTAGAACTGCGAGAAAAGGTAAGAGTTACACAAAAATTCCTAGAGAATGGATCAAGGCCTGCCAGTGAAATGAGGAGAAACAAAACACAAGACTTTTCCTGTTGACAACCCTTGGTTTGTTTTTCTTCACACAAGTTCCTAGTTGGCAATGACAAGACCAATATATAAATATGATATGTTTAAAAAAAATTACCAAGAGGAGAAAAAATCAGTTTGTAACATTTTTCCTCTTGCAGGCAGAGAAACAAAAATTCATACATACCATGGAATGACACACACACACACACACACACACACATGCACACACCATGTTTAAGCATCCCATGATGAACGTAATTACTTGGGTTCTACTGAAGTGCACAATAATTACGAGACAGTATTCCGAGTACAATCCATTCTTGAATAGTAAGTACAGTACATACTACATGAATAATGGAAGGCTCAAGAGTGCAGTAATAACAACTTAGGTGGGTAACTCCATGTCTATTGCCTGTGCTGACTTGTTAAAACAGTATGACTAGACTACCAGACGAGCTTAAGAATGTGTCAGAGCAAAGGTATAGTTACACATATTCACTTGTTACAGTAATTAACAAATCATGTGCATTTGATAACACCATTCATGTGACAGTGTACTCACACAGTGAGCATAAGTGCCACCTTACATTTATCCTTATGATAAAATTCCTAAATTCATAGGATAATACAAAATTATACCCAAAGGCTTTTGACACGTCCTTAGTTTAGCTCGGTGCAACCCTGTCTCCGGGAGTTGGGGTTTAGGAAGAGGCAATGACAAAAAATGGCAGTGTTTCTGGGTGTTGTTGGCAGGTAATGAGCAACTTGAAATAAAGAAGGGGTCGGTACATTGTAAATGAAAAACTATATTAGTAAGTTGACAATAATATTAAAAATACTAATAAAAACAATAAGGTATTCATAATACTAGATCTACCTAATACAAATTAAAAATGAATAATGATAAAAGAAAAACAAAGAATAATAATTATTCTAATGCTAACAATAATAAAGTGGTAAACAGGCATTAGACTGGATCAAACAAAAAGGCAGTACACCTGTACAGTACTTCACCGAGTCTTGTCAACAGACAGGTCGTGATGAAAGACGCAGCACAGCTATTAACAGTCAACTGAAGATAACCACAAACACAGCATATATATGTATATATATGCAAGTGCTTTCCACACAATGAAAAAAAAGGAATGAAAAATATAAACTGACAAAATTACAAATTTCTTAATTCTCACATTTTATACATTTAAGTTAAATATTAAGAGTATCACATGAAGTGATTCATTTTGTAACAGATTTTGTTTCAATTATTGTTCAATTGTCAAACTATCACACAGACTGTACATAAATTAAAAATAAAGAAAATATTAAGCCTTCCCTAAACATTTAAATATAATCAACGACAATTTGTAAAGCACCATGTAAACGTTAATTACGTACCTGGCAATAAAAAAAATATACATAAAAGATAGCTTCCTGATTTATCGTGTTAAATACTGTAAACTCTCATCTACTGATTTACTCAACATTAGTTATGTCTTAATTGCCACCATAAAAAAAGGTAAAAGAAAAATAATCAAACCTTTATATTTATCATGTGTACATGTCACGGAAGATTCATGCATGATAACGTTTTGTACTGTCATCATTAGGTATACAAAAAGGACAGAAATAAGGTACTCTAGCAACTATGGTCAATGGCAGTAAATGGTACAATGCTGAAATATGTCTCATATAATTCCTGGAATGTTACATGCTGCAACGCTTGAAACATCTTACAAGTTGAGCACGATGGAATAGTGGCAGTGATAGTTGAAGGGCCAGCAGTAGGGACTTTTGGGTCAGGTTAACATTGTATGTAAAATGGTATAAAAATATTTAAGACTGCATCATAAAGTATACAATGCACTATTATATAATACACAAGAGAATGGTCGAAACTTAACATGTTTGAGGGAAAGTCCTAACTGAAACCAGTGTGTATATCAGGCAGGCAAGACTTGAGTAACCTAACCCTTCCCTACTGCCCGCCTTGACAAACTCTCGGCAATCTTTGGCAACAAAACAAGTTATAAACTTATCTACATGGCTACACACAATGCAGTTTCTCATGCACCACTACAAACAGGATAGCCACTTTATAACAATCCAAAACAAAGCAGGTTCAAAATAGGTGAAAAAAAATTAAAGAAAAGAAATAACCTGCCACTCAAAATACATCCTCAGTCAAGACAAGGGCACTTACTTTCTATACCATGAAAATATTTTCACTTTCATTTGGTACTGGGCAGGTGCCCCCCCCCCCCCCACTTAAAAATCTTACACAGCAGTCATACAAAAAAGAAGTCTGGCATTCACATAACCAGATAAATAAAACCATAAAACAAAATACATAACTTATTTACATGACTAAACAATAGTGAAATAACTTGTTTTTATGTGGTTGCTTTGGGCTGGTCCAACACTTTATATACAAACAAAAATTCAAAACTTACTCAATTTCATGATTAATCATTTAGTCTTTATTGTGGCTTTCACAGAATTCTAATACTGTACATGTATTCTTGAACAATTTAGCTATAACTTCTGCTCTCCCTCCCGAAGCAACCATATCACAAACTAAAGTTGAGGCTGTGTGCTGCACTTGACAAACCTCACACTCTCGCATCACTCACTCTGGCAGTGCGTTATGAACACAGTCTGAATGTGGTTATGGAGTTGGTGCGTTATGTAACATTTTGTCTCATAATTGACTATTTCCAAAATGGTTCACTCAGAAATAACTTCCAGAGAAAACCCTTAGTAGTGGAACCATGGGCCACATGCAACATTTGGAATTCACCTTATGAGGAACTTGGACTGTCCCATTCTATGAGGTACTGGACTTTATCTTCAAAACTGACTCTCCTTGCTATTACATGGAACTTTTCACCATTTGCAATCCGGTTTGCAGCCCCAAAATAGTTATTGACAGTCGATTTAAGGTCACTAAAGGAGAACCCCGAATCTCCAACTTTGGGATCCTCCACTACATCGCTACAGTCATCTTTAGAGCCCGTATTTAACCTACCACTGAGTGCATAGTCAACACAGTTTTTTATACTGTTCGTGCCATTTAATCTTATTCCATTTCCACCATTTATGCTTAACGAACCATTCTGAAGGAGGAACATGATTTTAGCCTTGTCACACTTCTTACGGAAACGTCTTCTCTTAACTTCACCATTCTTCCCAATACGTATATCATTTTCACTTAGTTTCCGTTTAAGAGGTCTTATAACTGGCATACCGTAGCTGAGAGAATCTAGGTTGAGGAAGGGATTGTTTTGTCCCTCAAAGTTCGAAGGAGGAGGAATGAAGGAATCTAGGGTACCATGTGAGGAAGTTTCATCTCCACTTGTGTCACCTGGAGTAATGCAGTTTGGGGTTGAACTATCAGCACCAGTTTTGCTAACAGGTCGCACGCCTTGTCCCTAAGAAAAAAGATAAAGAATAGGAAAAAATACAGTATGTATATGTATGTGAATATACAATAAAATAAATAAATAAAATAAAAATATATATATGAAAATATATTCCTATTCTATATATATATTCCAGCATCTCAACAGAAGCTGAACGAGAGCACACACGATGGCCGCGATGGACATCAGCCCGCACCGACAGGCGGCGGGGAGAGTCAATAGACGGAGAAGGATGGGAAGGAGGATTGGAGGGAGATGAGGAAGAAGACACAGGAGACATGACAGACCGGGTAGAAAGAAGGGGAACCCCAGACAGAGGACCAGGAGGGGGACCCCTCGGGACAGAACGCAAAGGAACAGAGGAGGGGGCAGTGGGCGTATCAGGGTCCAAGGCCCGGAAACGGTTGAGAGTCTGAGGAAGGAGGGAAGGACGAGGAGAGGAAGAGCGCAACACGCGAGCATAAGAGACGTTAGCATAAGGCGGGAGCCGGCGAACCTGGCGCCTCGCCTCAGGAAAAGATAAACGCTCCCGGTGCTTCAAGTTGAGGACGGCTGCCTCAAGCTTGTAATGGATACACGCACGGGAGAAGGTAAGATGGGCCTCACCGCAGTTGAGGCAGCGAGCTTGGGAAGAAGTGCACTCCGACTTAAGAGTGACCTTCACCCCCACACAAAGGACAGAGAGAGACAGTCCCAGAGCAGCGAAAGACACCATGCCCAAACCTCCAGCACTTGCTACAGAGCCTAGAAGAAGGAATGTACTCCTGGACAGAGCACCTGGCACCAGCAAGAATGACAGAGGGTGCAAGGGTCCTACCATCAAAGGTAATCTTCACAATCTGAAGGGGTTGATGGCGACGACCACGAGGGGGATGAGTAAACGTGTCCATCTGGAGGACAGAATGGCCCTGGGCATCGAGGATATGCCGAATATCATCGTGGCAGTCCTGCAGATTCCGAACACCGGTCGCAACATGGGGCGGGAGGAGAATAGTACCAACACTGGCATTCAACTGAGCGTTCTTTGAGACCCAAACAGGGTTTCGCCAAGGTAGGATAAGGCAGCCAAGTGGGAAGCTGCATCCTGAGAAGGAGCAGCAACGACATGTGTACCGAGATGAGTGGGGTTGAAGGTAACAGAGGCATCCACGGAATCAACAAGATGTTGATGGAGGGAGAAATCGTCAGGAGGCGCAGAATCAAGAGGGAGGAGATCAAAGTATTTGGCCCACGAAGCGCGACCAAACAAGGCTTGATAGGCATCAGAACAGGAAGGAATCGAGCGAGTGCGGCCGTGTCAAGGACGGCGTTGAGAACCCCCAGAGAGAGGGGTTAAAAGGTGCAGTAGTTACACCTAGAGATTGAGCCTTGCCAGGGAACGAGGTAGACACCACTGGGGGCTTGGGGCTTGACCCAACCACAGAGGAGGGAGGGGAGCCGAGGGGAGTAGTCAGAAAGGCCAAAGGAAAAGCAAGGTAGGGGCCTAATGCAGCGGAGGCTACAGAGCCCGGTCTTCCAATACGGACCGACTCGGGGGCTTGGTCGTCCACCCCATGAGCCTGAGAAGGTAAAGGAGGAGGTAAAGGAGGAACAGAATACAACATAGGTACGGAAAAAAAACATTCATTCAAGAATGTGCCCCCACACCCACCATGGAGCCACAATTAAAGGCAGGACACCCAACAAGAAGCTATCGCCGATCATGCTGGGGCCTCCTAGGGGTGCGTCTTGAGTATACGCCCCACAAACGCCACCTTAAGAACCGTCAGTCCGTCGAGATCAGGTTCAGTGACGAAAGGGGGATTGACAATAAAAGGTTCCCCTCGCTCTCGACGTCGGGTACTACAGTTCTACGGGTGCAAGAGTATGTCTCCTCAAGCACCCGGGTGTCAAAATAGTAGTAGTCCAAAGGAATAACCAAAACAAGCAAAATGTCGACAGGAAACGACAAGCAGATAGGAGAAGAGGGGGGAGAAAAACGAAACAGAAGGAAAAGGAAAAGTTGTTCAGCACAATTTGAGAGGACAGCAGCAGGAGCACAAGGCTACAAAAGGACAGAGGACTGTCCCAAGGAGCATCACACTCCGGCAGCCGCCCACTAGGCCCCCCTCACGGCATCGAGCTAAACGGGGAGGGAAGGGGGGGGGGGGGATATAATAACTGAATAACTGTGTCATAGTATGGGCAATGTTCCCAAGTGAAAGACACTACAGCACTATATTACAAAAAAGTAAATTTATATTATTTTCAAATAATAATGCAGTCTCTATACCTCGGTCAAATTGGAAAGTAAAATATTGAAGGTTTATAGAAAATGAAACAATGTAGACACACAAGATGAGACTAGACTACAGTATATCTGCAGGTAATGTTTTGATTGCAAGGGCTTGATTAAATCTAAGGACTATGCAAGGATCAGAGCTTGTAAAGGGGGAATCATTGGAGGGGTGAGGTCAGAGAAGTGAGGCTCTGGCCTTGTGTACCTCTGTGGAAGCCCTTACACTCATAATTACACGCAAACATAATCTGTCTAAGGTTTCCTTTCAACTTGATTTTCTCTACATTGTTATCAAAACTTTGAGTTCTGTTCAAGTATACACAAATTAGACATGTGATTGCTGACCATGCATATCTCCCAATATAAACAATATGAAACCGTTAACACTAAAATATCCACTCTTATTTTTTTGTGTGTGCATGCACACATGTACAAGACAATTTGACCATTGTTTGAAGCTTTTCACCAGATTGGCTAGAAAAAATATTAACATTTGTAACCCACACCAACTACCTGCTTTAAGGCTTCCTTCAGCAACTTCTGTGCACGTTTCTGTTTAAGGTCACGTAGGTCATCGGTTTTGATACTCTGTTGATTTTTGGGCGGCCGCCCTCTTTTTCTCTTCACAGGAGCTTGGGAATCACTGGTGTTAAGATCATTCACTGGTATAATTTCTTCAATCATTTTTTTGGCCTGAAAATAAATACAGGAGAAAACAATTAAAGAAATGAATACCTGAAGAACTGTATTTGTATATCGAATTAAATTTCATCAAATTAGCTCATCTACAAAATAAAAATAACTTAACTGCAAGTGGTACATTAAATTTTTACTAGGATGACATGAAGGTAAATTGGCAATTAAAGACACCTGCATTCTCTCTATATTAACACACTATAACTGTACATATTTGAATTCACCCATTACTTGATTCTGAATTAACTTCATTATTCACTTATGTTCTATAATAGTCCATTTAATGCATTTAGTTACACATGGAATAGTGTAGACAGTCTCCGTGGTTTAGTGGTAAGACACTCGCCTGGCACGCGACAAAACTCCCACACAGGGAATAGCTCAACTGACACCTGAAGCTTACAAGGTCTGCTTGAAGTACATGCTTGTGAGGAGGGTCAGAAAGAGGACCACTCTAGAAAGAGAACGCAGACGACTGTACAGGAGAAGGAAAAAATAATGGAAATGCTTCGGCAGACACAACTATCAGAAGAAAAAAATAAAACTAAGCAGGGAGATCGAAGAAATAGAACAAACGTTGAAGCGATCATATGAGTTTAAGGAAATGGAATTGGAACAGAAAGCTATACAAGAGATAAAGAAAAATCCAAAATATTTTTTCACATACGCAAAATAAAAATAAAAAACCTCGACCCATATTGGACCGTTAATTACAAATGAAGGTACGTACACAGAGGTCAACAAAGAGATTAGTGAAATTCTAAGAAGCCAGTATGAGGCTATGTTTAGCACACCAATAAACAACAAGAAAGTTGATGACCCAGACAGCTTCTTTATGAATGACATTTAAGCTGCAGATAATATAACGGATATTAACACGAACTCGGAAGACTTTGAAAGAGAAATTGACAATATGCCAATGCACTCAGCTCCTGGGCCTGACTCATGTGACCATGGGGTGATAGCACACAAAATGAGGTCAATGGGAATAACTGGTAAAGTAGGATGCTGGATACTCAATTTCCTGTCGAACAGAACACAAAGAGTAACAGTCAATCAAATAAAATCGAGTCCAAGCGCAGTTAAAAGCTCCGTATCTCAAGGTACAGTCCTTGCACTGCTACTGTTCCTTATTCTCATATCAGATATAGACAAAAGTACACGTCACGGCTTCGTGTCATCCTTTGCAGATGACACAAAAATCAGCATGAAAATTACCTCTGCTGAAGACATTGAAAAATTACAAGCAATTACAAAATTACAATTACAAAAATTACAAAATTACAATTATATCAACAATTTCAAAAATTACAATTATATCAACAAAGTTTTCGATTGGGCAGCGGAAAATAACATGATGTTTAACAGTGATAAATTTCAGGTACTCGGGTACGGCAAAAATGAGTATCTGAAACATAATACAGGGTACAAAACGCAATCGAATCCACAAAGTTTTCGATTGGGCAGCGGAAAATAACATGATGTTTAACAGTGATAAATTTCAGGTACTCGGGTACGGCAAAAATGAGTATCTGAAACATAATACAAAGTACAAAATGCAATCGAATCTGCCCATAGTAGGAAAACAGCATGTAAAGGATTTGGGAAAAATGATGTCCGACGATCTAACGTTTAGGGAGCATAACCAAGCAAATATTGCGTCAGCCAGGAAAATGATAGGATGGATTACAAGAACTTTCAAATCCAGGGATCCCATCACAATGGTTGTACTCTTCAAGTCATTTGTGCTGTCCCGTCTTGAGTACTGCTCAGTACTCACTTCCCCCTTCAGAGCAGGAGAGATTGCTGAAATAGAGGGAATACAGAGAACATATACGGCACGCAGACGAGATAAAACACCTAAATTATTGGGATCGTCTCAAAGCTCTCCAAATGTACTCACTAGAAAGGAGACGAGAGAGATACCAAATAATATACACATGGAAAATACTGGAGGGCCAGGTCCCAAATCTACACAGTAAAATAAGAACATACTGGAGTGAACGATATGGAAGAAAATGCAAAATAGAACCAGTGAAGAGCAGAGGTGCCATAGGCACAACCAGAGAACACTGTATAAACATCAGAGGTCCGCAGTTGTTCAACGTCCTCCCAGCGACTAAAAGAAATATTGCCGGAACAACCGTGGACATCTTCAAGAGAAGACTGGACTATTTTCTAAGACAAGTTCTGGATCAGCGGGGCTGTGAAGGGTATGTGGGCCTGCGAGCCGCTCCAACCTGGTAGACCAAACTCTCACAAGTCAAGCCTGGCCTCGGGCCGGGTTTGGGGAGAACAACAACTCCCAGAACCCCATCAACCAGGTATCAACAAGTGAGGCGTCACAGGCAAGCCAAATGCCTTTAACAAGTGAGGTGCAAGCAAGCGCCTTCAACAAGTGAGGCCTCACAGGCAACCCAAATGCCTTCAACCAGTGAGGCTTCAGCAGTGAGGCAGTGAAAACTAACTTTGCTTAATGAACTATACAGTAATTTTAAGTGTTAATTTTAGTATTGTGTTAGTATAGGTTACGTAAATTGTTAAGAATTCTTAACTTCAAGACATGTGGCATCAATCAAAAAGACAAACACCAACAAGGTAAGTTGAGGTTTCTAGTAGAATATTTAATAATTATATGTGGCAAGGCAATTCAAATTATGTTGTTTGTAGTATAAAAATAGTTGGAAATGGTCACTTTTGGACTCAAAAGTACCATTATCCAGAACACATGAATATCTGGCTGGGGGTTCTTCCCATATAATCCAGATAATCGAGTGAAGACAGTAAAACCATACCATGAAACTCTTGTATTTATCTTTAAATATTACAGTAAAGAATTAAGACCCTTACCTTTTTATCATCCATTAAAATATCCAGTTCACGTTTACGTTTTCTTTTGCAGGAGCTATTAGGACTCTCCTCTTCTGGCTCCTGCTCTTGTTCCTGTTCCTGCTCAAGTACTTCAGGAGATACAGCACGCTTCTTTGCTGGACTGAAGTGTCCCAATGCTTCATCCACTTCTTCCTGTTTGTCATCGCGAAGTTTATAGCTTCGTGGAATTGGCGGACTGAAAAACAGAACAAAAATCCTAATTAAGAACACACATCGTGTAAAGATTCTTCATTAAATTAGGATTAATTGTTAACTGAAATTCCAGCTTATGATTCAGGTCAACAGTAAATCAAATAAATCATGATCAACAGTAAATCAAATAAATCATGATCAACAGTAAATCAAATAAATCATGATCAACATAAAATCAAATAAATCATAATCAACATAAAATCAAATAAATCATGATCAACATAAAATCAAATAAATCATGATCAACAGTAAATGTAAACACAAAAGACCCCGTGAGCATCATGATAGCCAGAATTCATCCCACATGCATCTCAGTGTGGCTGTGTATATGGAGTAATTCTATTTACACGCATTATACTGAAATTATTGCACTGTATATGTATATTATAAAACATATATATTCTCTCTAATATTAGGTACCATTATACTGTATTAAAATTATTTTAAAAAATATATTATCCTTTGTCGTTATATTCATACCAAAGAACACTTCACATTCTGCTTCCTATATGCTACCTGTGCAATAAAGTGTTAAATCATTACTTATTTTCATTTCAAATCATAAAGTGACATTGTGTGTTATTTAGATCAACAAAATGCATATGAAAATGTTATTTCCAGTACAAATGATGAAAATCAAATGTGTTCTCATTAGAAAACAGTACCTGTTTGTGCTGTACACATTATTCTGTTTTTGGTTGTAGTTTTAGTAAACCTCGTTAATTAATTAATTATCAAAAGAAGGCATCAAGCTGGGAAGGCTATATAGCACCATCAAATGTGCAGGGTATTCATGGGGAGCTAAATATCACTAAGGATGCCAATATAAGAAAAGTGAATAAGGGTCAAGATATCAAAGGCATCGAGGGACAAGTGACAGGTCGGGAAGCAAGACACACACACGCACATCCTGTAAGTCCGGACATTCAACAAGGATATGCACGACCGTAAGAGGGACAATGTAGTTTGGACAATTTTGGAGTTTGGTTTGGAGCAGGGCGGCACACCAGTAACACTTTCGTGCTTTGGGCGAGCGAGCGCCAGACCACAAGGTGGGGCTGTGTATATGTATAATGTGTACTCTTTTCACTTTGGTCACCTTAATTCTCGTCCTAGGTCTTTCATTTTGGTATCAATGTGTTTGCAATAAAATTTCCTACAAGAGTATATACATACTGTCCAAAACCGCGGCGTGCCCCACCGGAAGCCAAGCCAAAAGCAAGGCAAATTTTAAAATTTTTGACGCCATACTGCGTCATCATCGAGTGAAAGTGTTTAGTGCCCGCGAGTTAAACGGGTATGGCCAAATACATAATCTCACCAGAGTCGTTTCCCACCTACAGTTACGGTGGTAGGAGGAACGCCATGGGGACACACTACCCTTAAGAGTAGGCAGTTTGTTACCAGTAACAGAAGACCAACGACCCTGCCACTGGGCAAGGATTAAGGAATGAATAACTGGGTAGAATAAACCTCAGTACCTCAATGAATAACTGGGTAGAATAAACCTCAGACAGCCAGGAAAACCATGGCTTTTGAGAAAAGATTAAAAAGTAGATATGGTTTAATGCTTCAGACTAACCTGTGCATATGCATGAATAATTCTTAAGAACACTGATCAAACAGAAAGCAAGAACTAAATGTTTAATAATTAAGTCTCGGAATTTTCTCAGCCCCTCACACAGCATTATGAGCCATTCTTTATATATTAAAAACAACAAATATTGCAAATAGGGAAAAAATTTAAACAAAATTCCATTTATTTCCTTGGATACACAGAATTTCATATTAATCAATATTTTAGCACCCAAATGATGCATTTAAGCATAATCAGTGTTTATGCAGTAATTAGTTAAGAACTTAGTAGATTATGAAGATTATAGTAGTATATTATAATTACCACAAACTAAGTTAGTACAGGCATACCTCAGAATAAGAGTTTAATCCGTTCCTGGAGACGCCTCGCCTTCCGAAAACTCGCATTCCGAAGTTAATTTCCCCATAAGAAATAAAGGGAAATGAATTAATCCGTTCCTGACTACCCCAAAAACCCCACATCAAACTAAATTTTTATACCTAATTTACCTAATTCATCTAAATAAACCTACAAAACTGTGTTCCAGTTATTACTTACCTTGCTGTCGAGTGCTGTAGGCGTATGGAAGATGGTGAGGAGGGGGGAGGAGGAGAGGAGTTACTGTTTGGAAGGGGAGTCCCCTTCCATAATCACATCACATAACCCCATGCCTTGTAACACTATGGATACCACTTCTCTTTCTAAATTTTTCAAACCAGCCCCTGCTTGCCTTAAACTCTTTCTTATCTGCATCACTCGTTGCAGGGGTATTCTTTAGAAGGTCTTCGTGCAACACTCTGGCTTTCTCACAAATAATGGCCTCCGAAACACTATCACCCCTCAACTCTTTGTCGTGTATCCAAATTAATAACAACTTTTCCACTTCTTCAAGTATTTGTGGTCTTTGTGCCGTTAATGTTCTTACTCCTTTTGCCACTTTAGCACCCATAATCTTATTTTTCTTCTTAAGTATAGTGCATATTGTTGATGTGGCTTTGTTGTACTGCCTACAAAGTTCAACAACACGTGTACCGTTCTCATGCTTCCGAATGATCTCCTCTATTGTCATCCTCACATGAGCTTTCTGGCCTTTATCCTTACCACTGGCTTTCTTGGGACCCATGGTGAGATATATAATAACAAATTGTATAGACAAATCACCAAAAATCCAACAAAACACTGAAAATCCGCGAGAAGAATTGATGTGGGGGTAGTCACTGAGCGCGAGACAATAATAAACTGAGGGGCGGAGGGGCGACGAACGCGCTAGGTCGGCTGTACGCGTATCAACAAACTCGCGTCCAAACTCGACTCCCGAAGTAACCATCGCCTTCCGAGACAAATTTTTGGAGTAAATACACCTCGCCTTCCAAAAACCTCGCATACAGGGACAATCGCATTCCGAGGTACCACTGTACTTAGAAAGTTAGTTAGACAGGCCTGTAAAGCTTAGTGAGACCTCCCCCCCCCCCAGGTCAACAACTGACCTTTCCCTGGATGCAACCCATAATAACTGCCCAACTCCATGAGTACCTGTTAACTGATGTGTAAATTAAGGAACATGTACCCAAATGTCTCCTTTCTGTACGGGAATTCAAACTGAGACCTTTCAGCTAAAAACCGACAACTGAGCTAGTTTCAATGTAATTTTATGCGAGACATGTTCAGCATATTTATAAGTAATACGTATTGATACAGAAAATATTAGAGGGCAATTGCACAAAAAAAAAAAAATAACAGAAAATGTGTTGCAAGATCCAAACAACTTTATGCCAAGTCATGACAATAACAAAACTATTGTATCTTACATTCGCTTAGTTGTAGGATGAATTTTCGAAGAACGAGCCTGTCTAGAAAATCCTTGTCTAAAATAGACCAGTTCTTTCCTACCTAAGTTTGTAATCTACACCTTCTTAATTAGCAGAGAATATAGATCATTAAAACTCACAATATACTTTTGTGTATCCTTATCTCTTTAGTATGCAATGTTTAGCTTACAATCAACTTTATTCCACTTTAATATAAGTTCTATGTACTGCATATGGTACTTCAGTGTTCAGAACAAATATCACAAACTAACATTTAACGTATATGACCCAGTACATGCTGCCATCTGGTGATAACACCTCAAAATATTCCTCTTCACAAACTGCTACACTTACACAAAATATATTTTATAAGAATAATCTTTTTAATATAGTACTTACTAGTGAACTTTCATAATGCAAGCGAGGTACTGTATCTTCAGCTTTGTAACTTGTAAACCTGTTACAGTGTACTCCAAACTTTCCATACCAAATATTTACTTTAATACAAGAAATAAATATGCACTTTTTTTTACTTACCTTTGCAGTGAAGACCAGTTGTTATGTCACTCAACTAGCCAAACAAGTTATCCCTATAGTATGACAAGAACTTGATCAATGTACAGTACCGTACAGAACAAACATCAATGTACAGTACCGTACAGATCAAACTAAAATATTGTACAGATTATGAAAATATAAAAGCAGCATCTATTAGCAGCTTCAACTCAAATTATCTTATTCTGTGTACACAGTTGGAATGAGCTTAGCAACCTTAATTTGAATTATAGACGAACAACGGCCAGTTTGTACACTCGACCAATGGTAGGAACTTTCCAAGTGTTTGCGATGGCTGGTTTGGCCAGACAAGAGTTGTCACAGTGCCATAGCTCAATCTAGTCTATGATTTAGACACAGGACCACTTTCCTAGTTGTGTTCAATGGTTCAAATGTTTTAAATTTACTCTTGGGTTCTGACAAATATCTTTTTGGGAACTTTTCAATCATATTTGTGCAGCAAGTTCCTCCCAAGCATCCAATACATTCTTTAATGGACAATACATATGTACAGTAATTTAGAACACACAAGGATAATCACGTAATTTACAAGTGGCAGAAAGTTACCGTTTGTTTTGTCTGGAACCTAGCTTTTTTCCCTACACAAAGCTAATTTTGCTCTACACATGGTTCTCCAGAAACGTAATCCTCATGCAGGTCCAGAGTTGGAATGAGCTTAGTACTATCACATGCTGGGGAGTGAAGTGGTTTTGCTGGCAAGAGGGATATTCCTTGCTATTGAATAAGTTGGTCTACCTACATAGATAGTAATCCTATTTTATTTAATACTGCATTTACTTTTATTAAAGGTATAGATATTTTTTGTTAGTAATAAATTATTTCCACCTTTTTTTAGCATGTTCTCTATTATTTATGTGTATACAATATATATATTTTTTCTTGCATAGTATTTATTTGGCTCCAATGACTTTGCTGTTACTGAGTCAGAGAAATTTATCAATGCTATATCAATTATTAAATATTCCTAGATTCCTTTGCAAAATTTATTATTAAGCCTGTTTAAAAAAAATAATCCATGACAGC